TATGTTCCTTTTTAAATCAAGTAAGTAGAGTAAAGCTAATGGTAATCAATGCAGACTGATAACTATATGGTAATACACAAAATTATACATTTAAATCGATGCAAAAATACATCAGAATAAGTTAACAAGTCCATCACCACATTGAATGATTATGTATAAGATTATTACTGCTTTTAATTGTCAATAAATAAAAAAATAATATAATTCACGTTAATTAAAAATGATCTATCACACTCGTTACTATCTACATAAATACATAAGAGTACATAGCAAGGTGTTATTTAATTTAAAGGGTGTCCTCCATCAGAGCATGACTACAATATATCTCCCATTGGGCACAGGGGTCCGGGCTACTATCGATAAGAAATTGAGTCCCATACACCAAACGTTTAGTTTATTATTGCTTTATGTCCTATTAAAAGCCAGGGTCATTTAAGGTCATACCAGGTTTGGTTGGTTGAATTTCCGGAGAAAAATCACCGAATTGCGGCTAGTATCGGGCGACTAACCCTACGCGATCCAGAGGTGGAGAGCTAGTGATAAAGTCGGTTAGACATTTTAACCAATCGACAACAACGACTTATTTTACCAAACGATTCTCTAATCAACATTTGTTGAAAACCCGCTGAGTCATTCACGACTAGTATTGAATACAGGGATATTTCCCCATTTTTACAACTATACACGAATTCGCCTCATTACCATTTTGCCCACTGAACTTTATCTAAAAGAGTTCTATTTGCCCTCCGTGTTCATGGACGAAAAAGGCGAAAAAATCTGGTACAATGTAGCATTTCTAGAAAATAGATAATTGACGGACGCTGCAGAATCACTTGGGGTGACCGATCCCCTGGACCATGAGATCACCGATCCCCGGCCATGAAATCGCCATTCCTCCGGACGTGACAATGTACTAGGAGACTTAATATTGGGCTTATTACTGTCTTAACGGACCGGCGACATAGCGAAGGTCATTAAGGTCAAACAATGGCGGACGGTCTAACAGATTCAATCAAATGAAAGACGTAAAAGACATATATACAGTTAGTGTTCATAGCAAGTCGTATCCAAGTTAACAGGTCAACCACTAACAGGTTAGAATTTATAATACGTTTACTGTTTCAATAACAAGTTTAAGACTTTATACATAATCAGACCTAGAAGGTCAAGTAGGGTCAGCGTTTTACCAAGATATGGATTCCCTTGTGGTGGTAATTTTTTAATTCTTAAGTTTATTTTATTCCTTTGGAATGACAAAACAGACAAAGTGAAACGAAATGTTATAACTAAAGAAAATGTTTTTGAAGGTGTGATATTCTTAAAGTTTGGGAATGATTATTGGATTATGATTTACTAAAGGGCAGACAACTCTATATTTTCAGATTCCCTTGTGACATAATCCACAAAAAAATATTGGTGGAAACTTTGCTTTTTCACAAAACCTGGAATGCTACGAGAGTTAGTGTGGTAAACGATGTGTTGAAAAATACAAATCCTGTTACTTTCTATTCTTATTTTTAATTTACACAGAAATATAGTATATCTACAAACTTTCTCCTTTTTCAATTTCTGGTTAACTCTGTTAAATTATCTATTAATACACGAAGGATTCATTATATAAAACTCCTAACTTCCCTTCATTCCTTTTAACTTAGATTTTCTTTTTCAAATAGGTTCAAGGAACAAAGTATTTATATAAAATCTTCTTAAAAATGATAATAGGAAAAATAGGCAGATCAATTTGTCTTTGTTAACGCCAACATAATATTTTGATTACAAATTCACTACTATTTAAGGCAAATATAATTGTGAGTCCACTTTGTACTTTTAGGACCGATCATTTATAAATTAAATGTCTGCCTTTTTTAAAATAACATACTTAAATCATAATATATAAGACATGTTTTTTGCTGAAAACACAAAGACAGCTACCGCCACTCCAACACAATGTTTACAAGAAATTTAACGATAGAATTTTCATGTACATTCCCCTCCCCTCCCGTTACTTTGACCCAATTTTCCTTTCATTATCATATCTTACCTAATACAGATCCTAATTTTCTCTCCACATTAGGATTTGACAACATCCCATAAGGTGGAAATCTGTATTCATTGTATTTAAGCTTCAACTCATTTCGTCATAAAATGTTGACTTAATCACGATCATATCGAGATGTTGGTCAGATTCTTTGTTCACTGTTTTGCGGAGAATAACGGGCGAGAGTGGGGGTAACCATTCGAAAGTTAGGATATGTAAAATAAACCCTTAAGAACATCAATAATAATCAAGTTTAGTTTAAACAATATTTTAATCATTATTGAAAAACAAGAAGGCACAGAATAAACAGAGGTGAAAAGGGATTTGACAACAAGCTTGAAGCTTATGTAGGTCATATAATAAGTTGATAAATATTCACATCGAAATGCAGAAAGGACACATTAAAATTTTCCAATACATTGAGACAACGAAATTTCTCAAGTTGTTACTACCTGCGTGATCAAATGTCTAATGAAAAAGGTAGATATATATCAACATGGATTTGTTTCAATACAATCATTTTCGAACGTCAACACCACATCACACTATTTGTGCTGTCGTGTATAAACCTGTAGTGGTTGCTAAGCAATTACTCCCTGGGAATTAAGTAATCTTAAAGTTTTAAAAACTTATCATAATTCTATTTGAATTTCCCATAATATTTAATAATCTTAATCTAGTATTATAATTGAAACGTTTGAAGGGAGAGATACATAACAGCAAATTCGATCTGATAAATAACGCATTGAATGAAATATGACTGCAAACTAATGGGTTAGGTTAATTGTGTGATTCATCCACTTTTCATACGATCGCTGTAACTGATACCTCTGGACAGGTAAATACATAAAAAAGATAAATAAATCATCAGACAAGTAAAAACTTTATATTCAATAGTCACTGTGATATCTTTAAAATTTGTTTATCAAAACAAATATTTTGAAGATTGCAATTTCATGCATCATCAGTTCATAATAAACGAGTAATTGAGTTATGAAATAACAGTATATATAGGACTGCACTGTCCCTGATTGTAATCGACAAATCAGAACGGAGGACAATGGTAAGTAAACAGTTACCACCAGTCTAACAGTATGGTAAGTAAACAATCACCACCAGTCTAACAGTATGGTAAGTAAACAGTCTAACAGTGTGGTATGTAAACAATCACCACCAGTCTAACAGTGTGGTAAGTAAACAGTCACCACCAGTCTAACAGTATGGTAAGTAAACAATCACCACCAGTCTAACAGTATGGTAAGTAAACAGTCACCACCAGTCTAACAGTGTGGTATGTAAACAGTCACCACCAGTCTAACAGTGTGGTAAGTAAACAGTCACCACCAGTCTAACAGTATGGTAAGTAAACAGTCACCACCAGTCTAACAGTATGGTAAGTAAACAGTCACCACCAGTCTAACAGTATGGTAAGTAAACAGTCTAACAGTGTGGTATGTAAACAATCACCACCAGTCTAACAGTATGGTAAGTAAACAATCACCGCCAGTCTAACAGTGTGGTATGTAAACAATCACCACCAGTCTAACAGTATGGTAAGTAAACAGTCACCACCAGTCTAACAGTATGGTAAGTAAACAGTCACCACCAGTCTAACAGTGTGGTAAGTAAACAGTCACCACCAGTCTAACAGTGTGGTAAGTAAACAGTCACCACCAGTCTAACAGTGTGGTAAGTAAACAGTCACCACCAGTCTAACAGTATGGTAAGTAAACAGTCACCACCAGTCTAACAGTATGGTAAGTAAACAGTCACCACCAGTCTAACAGTATGGTAAGTAAACAGTCACCACTAGTCTAACAGTATGGTAAGTAACATTGTTAACTCACTAACGTCGGTACCACTACATATTACAGTATAGGGGTGTCTTTGTTATTTCAACATGTACTGAACCAATTTAACAATTAAATTGACATCACAAGAATTTTATAAATGCTAAGGAACATTGTAAATTTATATTACAAGAATCAAATCATGAAATAAACATGATAGAAAAACGGTGTTTGATAAAAATTTTCAATATTATTGTTTAAATTTCTACTCGAGTTGGTCTCAACGACACTACCAAATCTAGCGTTTCATTTGTCAATACATTAACATTGAACAGGACTTATGAATACATCCTAGACAGATTTAGCGCGGGGAATTATTATTTTTGATGCTAAATTATAAAAAAAGTAAATCTGCTCCAGATTTGCAGAATATATATTGGTAAATATAAATAATATTATAATAACACATAGGGCCAAGATCTTGGTCTATTGAGATATTTAGAATATAACTTTTCTTGACCACGTCCGTGATGACCTGGATATATAGACTAGAGTGAATGTTCATAAAACCCACTCCGTAACATTTTAACAATCGGGTGACGACAGTATAGCTCCGTATACCTGTCGGAGAATTTTCCTAATCTCTTAACTTTATCAACAAAATCAATTGAGTTTTAATTATTTTTTTTCTAATTTTATTTTTTGTGTCACATAATCGTATTCTGCTTGAGTAACACTGTTTGATCATCCTCTAATTTAAAATGCCGGACTGTATTTTTATAGAATCCATTAGAATTACACAAGATCTATAACTGCAGACTTGGATTTGTTCAAAATATTGAAACCGAAACATCGATATATAAGCATTGAATCATGCTTTTGTCGGTTTCATGGAATGATGAATTGAGTTGTTCTAGCTACAAATGCAACAAGAACTGAATTTGTTTCAAGAAGAAAGCAGTACATATTTAATTTCTACGGTTCCGAAGTTTCAGATCATCTGACCCGACATGTAAATGTTTATGTTTGACCTGGAATTACAAGCAAAAATCAAATTAGGACATGGAAGTATGTATCCATTGTAGGACGAAAGAATTGTGAGTTTGTGCCTCGGGTCCTTTTGGAAATCCGTCCTTGTGGCCTGTTTACTACAAACTGTTGTTGATGCCAATATGGCGGCAATATTCGAAGAGGCTGTCGTTCATGGGACACAACAGTTAGAAGAGCTAGTACAAAAGCGATGGGATTATGCAGGTATTCATTTAATATAAGCCTGTCAATCTGTTATAGCTTTACCTTCTCTAAGTATTGTTGTAGGCGTGGACAAAGTAGGGAAGATCATATCTATATAGAAAGAAAACTTCCTAAATACAATTATGCATTCATTGATGCTGGTCAGTTCTCATGGTGATGACTTAACATAGTATTTTTACAACTCATATGACTTTGTTGAAATTCAAATCATAAGAGCTATAAACTTTTATAATCAGAAGTATAAGATCGATAGATTATCGATGATCCGTCTGATCATATCCCACATCTTTTACGACAGTCGTATCGAACTTCAATTTTGTCCCACCAAATTCTCAATGTATTGTGATGGTAGTGTTTGCCCCTGTTTTGTAATATTCTAGAAATATTTACATAATGCTAGCTAAAGGATTGTTAATAATTGTAAATGAATGTATGTATGTGTTATTTATCAATTCAGATATTGAATAGTTTGAGGCCAAATATATAAATGGCAGTAGAAGACCCTTACTCTTCCGGAACAACTGGTCTTAATCTCCTTGTACATTTTCGGGATTCTGCGTGTACAGCTTTCTTCTGTTTTTATTTTACAATAGTTTCATCAAATATGATTGAATTCAGACATGTCTGTATATTCTTAGTTGTTCAAATAAGCGACAAAAATACAAATAATTGAACGCTCTACAAACTGTGGCTATTTCAGAGGTTGACAAACCACAAATCGGCGGTAGTTGTAAGGAAGCTCATTACCAAATACATTCACAAACACCCGAAGGTGAAACTCTGGAATTTATTGCCAACACACAGCTCAACACCCTGGAATTCGTCATGCAAAGGTCAGCTATATATATGGTCCTGTTCCATCCAGTTACGAGTTTTGGTTTGAAAATTGTAAATTGTCATTTCAACAACTATAGTATTTTAACTGAGCTTTATGTATGTGAGCCAGGTGAGTACATGTACTGAGTGTGCGTGAGAGGATGCGTCTTGTTCATGTAAGCCTTATTGTGATCGTGTGGAATTTACAATCTTCCAATCAGCTATGTACTTGTCAATACTTGTATTAAGATACAATTTTATATTGGTATAGTCAAAATTGTTTGATACGTCATCGATAAAACAACTCAGAGTAACATTTATAGACGTGATAAATATAAAGTCTGGATTTTTACTTTTCTTTCGATCACTTTGAATTTTCCTAAGTTGTCTCCTAGACTTAAGCATATAACATCAATTACTTGTCCCTGAAGGACGGAACAACTGTATGATGTAGCATCACTGAAGAGTCCTAGAAGGACGAAACAGCTGTACGATGTAGCATCACTGACGAGTCCTAGAAGGATGAAACAGCTGTACGATGTAACATCACTGACGAGTCCTAGAAGGACGAAACAGCTGTACGATGTAACATCACTGACGAGTCCTAGAAGGACGAAACAGCTGTACGATGTAACATCACTGACGAGTCCTAGAAGGACGAAACAGCTGTACGATGTAGCATCACTGACGAGTCCTAGAAGGACGAAACAGCTGTACGATGTAACATCACTGACGAGTCCTAGAAGGACGAAACAGCTGTACGATGTAGCATCACTGAAGAGTCCTAGAAGGACGAAACAGCTGTACGATGTAACATCACTGACGAGTCCTAGAAGGACGAAACAGCTGTATGATGTAACATCACTGACGAGTCCTAGAAGGACGAAACAGCTGTATGATGTAGCATCACTGACGAGTCCTAGAAGGACGAAACAGCTGTATGATGTAACATCACTGACGAGTCCTAGAAGGACGAAACAGCTGTACGATGCAGTTTAATTCGTGTATTGGCTCTACAGTATCTAAGCTGATGTTTGTATTAAAAGGTGTGTCTCAAATAAAATCAATCTGCCGCCTACGTATAGTCATATTTTTCCTCATTTTCTAGATCTGGCCTTTCTCTGTCAACTATTCGCCATGACCAGGAACTAAACCTTCTATGGAATCAGACATTTCCGAGTTGTCTGTGTAATGTAACATGTGAATCCAGTGAGTATCGTACACCGGATGGTTCGTGTAATAACTTACAGTACCCGTGCTGGGGAATGAGTGAAACTCCACAGGCGAGGCTTGTTCCTGCTGAATATGGAGACGTCATGGGTATGATTATGTACTAATATATTGTTTATCGGTGAACACATGTCAATTCGAACGTCTCGCGATCTTCTAAAAACCTGTTTATTTACAATAAATGTTTCAACTTTCGCTCAGGACTAGGATCAGCGCCTCGAAACGCCACATCGGGACCAGACCCTGTAGAATTGCCGAGTGCACGGCTTGTGTCTCTAACACTCTTCAGAGATTTCTCAAAGGAAGACAAAGACGACAAACTGTCATTCGAAGTGATGAGCTGGGGTCAATTTATCGATCATGACATTGTATTCACACCAGTGTCAAAAGGTTAATATTTTACTTTTTAAAGTCTGTACAGTGTTTTATAACAGTGATGTCACATGATCAATATATTTGAAATTAATAAATCGATATTTGTCATTCGAGTATGTTGGCTTGTCAACGTCTTTTAAAGTTTTACTTTTTAAAGTCTGTACAGTGTTTTATAACAGTGATGTCACATGATCAATATATTTGAAATTAATAAATCGATATTTATCATTCGAGTATGTTGGCTTGTCAACGTTTTTTAAAGTTTTACTTTTTAAAGTCTGTACAGTGTTTTATAACAGTGATGTCACATGATCAATATATTTGAAATTAATAAATCGATATTTATCATTCGAGTATGTTGGCTTGTCAACGTCTTTTAAAGTTTTACTTTTTAAAGTCTGTACAGTGTTTTATAACAGTGATGTCACATGATCAATATATTTGAAATTAATAAATCGATATTTATCATTCGAGTATGTTGGCTTGTCAACGTCTTTTAAAGTTTTACTTTTTAAAGTCTGTACAGTGTTTTATAACAGTGATGTCACATGGTCAATATATTTGAAATTAATAAATCGATATTTATCATTCGAGTATGTTGGCTTGTCAACGTTTTTTAAAGTTTTACTTTTTAAAGTCTGTACAGTGTTTTATAACAGTGATGTCACATGATCAATATATTTGAAATTAATAAATCGATATTTATCATTCGAGTATTTTGGCTTGTCAACGTTTTTTAAAGTTTTACTTTTTAAAGTCTGTACAGTGTTTTATAACAGTGATGTCACATGATCAATATATTTGAAATTAATAAATCGATATTTATCATTCGAGTATGTTGGCTTGTCAACGTCTTTTAAAGTTGCAGAATATAACTATTTAAATCCGGGGACATATTTCATTATGGACCCTACATAATACAATAAATATATTTGATTTAAAATTCCCCTTTCATTGAAAACATTGATAGCTTTTAGACTAACTCTATGACTTTAAACTTCATGTATTTAGTATTGTTGGGTTCATGTTCTGTATATAGGTCATCAATGAAGCAATACAACTAAAGTTTTAATCGTCAGCGCACATGCAAAAGTTCGCAGGTGGTTGTTTTTTCATTATATGCTTATTTGTACCATTGAAACCAAACAACGTTCATCGTATTTAATTGTGAGATTAGTTTGATTTATCTAAGGAATTACTGACAAAGACGTAAAAACTTAAAATGTTCTTCTATATAACAAGCATATCATTATTATAATATTCCACAGGTGCTGATGGAAATAGCATTTCCTGCTGTGTTGCTCCAGACAATAGTACTACCCGACAACCAATTACAGACAGGTAATTATTGTCTCCCTTGATACTACGTTATATCGCGCCTTTCGCCTTCAGGATTGTGATGACGGCTACCATGTACTAGTAAACATAAAACATTTGAAAAACGTGCCCTGGATTTCCTAATAGAATTTTAAATAGAGAATTGATAAAAATATAAATTGTTATTGTCATTAGGGTCGAATGTGCTCCAATTGTGGTGGATATGGCGACAGATCCACATTTCACCGACACCACATGCTTAGATTTCGTCAGATCAGCTCCTGCTGTCAGTACTGATTCATCTTGTATCCCTCGTAAGTACGGCCTTCATCAGATTCATTTTAGTTCAGTTTACTTTACGTTTCATTAATGGCTAAATATTTCGGAATACTGAGGACTATACTGTTTATCTATACTTTTATAGTACATACACGATTACCTATCTAGATATTTATGTTACTTAAGCTACTGATAATACCACCGAGTGTCGACTTTATAGATTATAACTAGAGGATAAATCTCGTAACAAGGCTAACAATGTTGACCTATAAAAAAAGAAAAAAAACAGTTAGGTATTTAAATTAAAAGTTAAGACTGAGACAGATATTCAATGTTACAAAGGGCAATATTTCATATTTCATTTAGGCCCTCTTGTATTGTAATGTAGATGGATGGTAATTTTCTCAAAGTTTCTTATGTCAGTCACACAGCTGTGCTTACTGCCAGCTCGAAAACAGCTGACCATCACACAGAGACCTGTAGATCCTTAACCAAGAATTCTTGCTTGCATAGATGTCCTTCTAAGGCGAAGGAAAATGAATAGATTTATTTAACGGCTCTTTAATATACAGATCATGTAGAACGATGAGCATGGTATAAAAAGGATGACATACATATAAATTTAACTCTTGTGAAAAGGTTTGTTTTGAGCACACACTTAAGGATAATGTTAAAATTCATTCATTGTTTAATTCATTAAAACATCATTTAAACGTCATTTCTGAAAGATGTAGGGTTGGTATGGTTTCAAGTAGTATCATAAATGTCGCTTGATTGCAGTAAAAAGAGAGCAGATGAATTTGGCGACTTCTTTTATTGACGGCTCAATGGTATATGGGACAACACTGGAAAGACAAAACTCTCTAAGAGACATGACTCAGAATAAAGGTATTATTTTTACCTCTTATTACAAACCAGTTGGACGGGTTCTGCTCCCTGGCCGAGGAACACTTATTTACCACTCAGTGCCTAACGCTCAGAATTGTTTTGTTTTTATTTTATTATTGTTTTTCAAATGGTTTCCCCGTCGTCGGTATAATTTGCCAAGGTGTGGTGTATCGACGGAGGCCTTTCGCAGTATACTTCAGTGTGATAACACTATGAGTTCGGTATTGCCTCTATCACAAATGCGCTTCCGAGACGGTATCGCAGCGTCTTATAAATGTGGGCTTAGCACAATACTTTAATACTTTAATTACCCAGTTTTAAAGAATCGTTTGTGTTTGTGGCCAGAGAAAGAAAATACCGTGATGACTTGCTGAGAAGGAGAGAATGTGATGGTTAACGTTGTGTTAATTTTATAAAATATCATTAGGTCCTATGTTTTATAATAAATAATTGGGATCTATTGCTGCATTGTGTTGTTTTGTATAACTTCTAAATGAAAAGGCTTTTCACATAAGACGATGTTGATGTATCTGACGGTCAGCAGTATGATATGTATGGTATACACTGATCGCACAAAAGCTCCATACCGTACGAGTGTTTCGTTGTACAAAAAATTCTCTTTATAGCGCCGAACACTTAAAATAAAACCTGACGGCTAACGTCACAGATCTTTTCATGTTTGAAAAGATTTAGTCCTGGCAATATCTAGCATGCTGAAAATTCTGTGTGACAGCCTTGTCAAAGCCACAGATGTCGTTGCTCGCAACACCATACTCTTTTGTGAAAATTCAGGGTGACACACGCTATTCATCACCAAAGGATATTTTACATATACCTATTATTGAGAAAGTAAAAATATCATATATCTTAATATAAAAGTTTCATAATAAAATATATCAGCTAAATCAGAACTTAGTTACATTTAAAATTAGCCTTTTGATGTGTTATGACATCATACTGTTTGGATTGGTATGTTGATAAACTTTTATATTGTTTATCGTCCTGTTAACAGCTATGGTCATTGCAGGACGGCATCACCATATATGCGAAATAAATGTATATGTTGAGTGTGTTTGTGTGAAAGTGCGATATGTTCGTGTTAGTCTCTGTGGAAACTTTTGAAACTTTTGATCTTTTAGCAGTTATGATAAAGTTCTTAAATAAAGAAATAAAAAAAAGTATGACATATCTAGTGAAGTAGTCATAAGATTTGTCAGCAAACTGTGCAGCTCTTGCCTCGAACAGCCATTTGAGTATTTTTCTCCACCGTAAAGATGCTATACATGAGGTAAAGTTTTACTATTCAGTGTAAATTGGAAAGACAAGCTTGCTATGCTGTGTTCCAGGTTTGATGCTGGTAAGTCCTGGTAATTTACCACCGCCTCTTGGAACCAATACGACCTGTAGGCTGACTCAAGAAACGAATGAATTCTGCATGAAAACAGGTAAAATCGTACAAACGACACATACATGTGTATTGTCAAACGACAACAACTCAGCTGGGTCGTTCAAACAGAAAAGATAGTGATTCTAAGTCATGCAATGGGGCAGCATACCTATGTAGATCTGTTCAATACCCACTCTTGATGTGGAAGAAAAACACCTATTCTGCAAGGGAGAACATTAAATTGTATCCTAATTTGTTCCTCCGAGGTATCGAGAAAGGACATGTATGCAGTCTCTCCTATCATATAACCCGTGTGTTCTCTTGACATTCACCTCTTAAGACAAATTATTGACTAGACGAGTGTTCCGACGACACACAATTGAAAAGCACCTTTAAAATCAAATTTAAAATCAAACTGCATCATACAACTATATCGTTTTACTAAGACTTTTTAATCATACTAAGTGCCTAAATTTGGAAACGTATGGTCGACTGAGGAAAACCAAATAGATAGTAATAAATGTATGAATCGACATGTGTACAGGGGTAGCACATTAGCCCAAGAATAGAAAAACGCAATTCGTTTTAAATATTATATTTGGCGGTCCCAATAATTCGAAATGATTGTTAAAAATACAATATTTATCATGATTATTTTGTAGGTGATGGACGAACTCAGGTAGTTCCGAACCTTGCGAATGACCATGTCCTACTGCTAGGAAACCATAATACAATAGTTTTGCAACTGGCAGAGATAACACGTTGGTCCGAGGAAAAGCTCTTTCAGGAAGCAAGAAAGATAAACATCGCTATTATGCAACAGATTACATACGGCGAATATCTACCTCTTATTCTTGGCCCTGATTTGATGAACGAGTACAAACTTATGGTTCGGGAACCATCTCATAACATCTATAATGCCGCAATGAATCCTACAGTCTTTAACAATTTTGCTGTAGCAGCATTTCGATTCGGTCATTCGCAGATTACAGATTTCCAAAATTTCCTCAGTAACTACTACAACGACACAACAGTGAATAGAATTGAAGACACATACCTCCGGCCCATATTTACTGTCCGTGAACAAGGCAAAGACCTTGATAAACATACGAGATGGAAGGTGACAACTCACTCTGCAGAGGCTGGAAGGTAAGTTGTTTAATCCGAATAAGGTGACAACTCATTCTAAAGAGGCTGGTAGGTAAGTTTTTCAATCCGATGAAGGTGAAAACTCACTCTACAGACGCTGGTAGGTAACATGTTTAATTCGGTAATTGTCATACACGGTCGGTCACTTAACCTCTCATGCCCTTAACATATTTGACTGCTCAAAAGACACACATATGAGTAATATATTTCTTAAAATACAAATTCAGATATGGATGTAGTTGAGCTAAACAATGAAGTAAACTTCTAGGACTCATCAGTGATTTTAAGGGCCGAAATTTTTAAGTTTGGAGGCGACTTAAAAAAATCCAAACTGATCGAAAGAAAAGCCAATAGTCCGGGAGGTACACTATCCCCATAATTCAACAATGGTTTTAATGGTTTCTTATCCAGATACTGCTTGTCATACTAATGATGAGATACAAAACCTTTTCCTAGTTTAACTCTGGTCTCCTGTCTTTCTGAGGTTAATGCGCTGTTGTCTATTGGGACCGTCGCAGATAACACTGCAGAGACGATAAACCTGTACTAATAGGTTAAAGGTGAAAAAATCAAACATTTATCTAAATATATTTTATATTTCGTACAGATTGTTTCCAAAAGGTGTGTTGGATCTTCTGTTTCTGGACTCGCTTGGACACAGTTTAGACCTCCCTGCTGTTAACATTCAGAGAGGAAGAGATCATGGTATCCCGCCTTATGTCAATTTTTTGAACGTATGCGGATTGGCCATACCCACTACCTTTGATGAACTGATGAACCACACAGTTGCAAATAGGGCACTTCTGGCGTCTGTTTACAAGTAAGCGTTATCACAACAGTCTTACATCTTAGATCTGGAGTAGTCGTGTCTGTCTATCATAGAACAAAAAAGGGGTTTATTCTTCAAATCACTTTCGTAGAAGGGACTGCCTTATTAATCACAATGTACAGTCGGACCTCGTTATCTCAAACTCGTATAATTCGAAGACCTCTTTTAATTCGAAACATTCGTCCGTCCCGACGTAACTTTACACAAAACATTCGTCTGTCCCTACGTAACTTTACACAAAACATTCGTCTGTCCCTACGTAACTTTACACAAAACATTCGTCTGTCCCTACGTAACTTTACACAAAACATTCGTCTGTCCCTACGTAACTTTACACAAAACATTCGACCCCAATTAAATCGAAATTCTGGGTTATCTTTTAAGTTTCCCCATGGTCCAGCAGAGTTCGAGATAAAAGAGGTTAGACTGTAGTCTTTGTTATCTATTTTCGTACAATGTTTCATGTATTTACGTTGTCATTGATATGTATATATTGTTTTAAGATACGTTATGTATTAAACATGTACAACTTCATGTTGTAAAAGAGTTTTAAATAAACACATCATCTATTACCTTACTGTAGTGCTGTCTCTGATATTGACCTTTTCGCGGGGGGAATGACCGAAGAATTTGTAACAGGTGGAAAAGTTGGACCAACGTTCGGCTGCCTCCTTGGAAAACAGTTCCAAGCTCTGAAACACGGGGACCGTTTCTGGTTTGAAAGAAGCACGGTCTTTAATACAGGTAACCATCACAAATCGCCAGTATCAATAATAACATGATACCTACCTTGTAGTACATGGACAATAGTAAACCCATGCTTAAAAAAAGCAAATACCAACATGTCAACATGATCATAATCCAAACTCAAATTCAATAAAACAAGGCCAAAATATGAATTAATGAAAGATGTACATGGAGGCTCAGGAAAAGGCACAAGAATAAAACCGCGTGTTTCTGAAGAGAAAGTCTCTTAAGCTTAAAACAATCTACTGAACCCTTGTTGTGTCCAACTTCTAATCACAATTATTGGCTATATAATCATACTTCAGTACCAAGCTTATTATGGTCATTTGTTCATTAAGGTCATTTAAAGATTGTAACGTGGTTCAGTTTGTAAATAATGCATACAAATACTTGATTTGTATCTGCGAAAATTGACACTAAAACAGGAACACAGATATGATTTCATTTCAACAAGAATACAGATATGATTTCATTACAAGAATACAGATATGATTTCATTACAAGAAAACAGATATGATTCCATTTCAACACGAATTACAGAAATAATTTCATTTAAATACGAATACAGAAATGATTTCATTTTTCGTTCGTCGCTATGTTATACACCTGTTAAGGAGAGTGTTGAAAAGGGAGTAAGTTCTGGCAATGATAGAGTACTTTGTGAACGTTACCATGGATTCCCATGGAATAGTCTAAATGTCTTAGGTGAGGGTAGGTTTTGTGCCTTAGTGTATCATTTGTTGTCAATCATAATCACAGTGTTAATGACACTAAAACGTTTGGAGGATCCTGTCAGAATTAGTTTCATGTGCCTGTAATTCAATATTATACTACCAGGTATAAAAATGTTTGCAGGGACACAAAACATTAGAGAAATATTTCCCGGTCATATGATTAAAACAAGTTCTGTACAATATATTTTAGCCCAACTCATCGAACTACGCAAAATGACATTGGCGAAGGTGATGTGTCTGAACTTTGACATGTGTAATATTCAACCAGATGCGTTCAAACTACCAAATTTCATGTGAGTAGTAATACATCAATATGTTGTTTCACATTGATAACTCGATATATATCAATTATCAGAATGTTATATTAAAAATAAAAGCCAATAGGAATGACTAAGCTATATTTTAATCGGTCTGATATGTTAACGGGATGGCGTGTTTTCCCAGTTTTTAAGAACACCACTACTGATAAGGTTCAGAGTTAACAGTTCCCATGGAGACATAAATTTTGAACATTCTTGCCATCTTTGTTTTATTGAACAGTTACAACAGACCGACGAGCTGCAGCAATCTCCCTGACATGAACTACAACGTGTTTAGGTAATTAGAGGGGCACTAGTAGCAGGTGAACAGACGTGTAACATACATAATACTGGAAGTATACTCCTGGTTGGAAATATCATAAAAGACTTTTAAATGTTCATTATGTCTATCTTTGTGTTATTTTGTAAAAGTCCTGATTATCTCTTATCCAGTAAAAACATCTTGTGTTGATGTTAAAAAGTTTCATTCGAAAATAAAACTATTGCATATGAAATTAGTGTTATCCATTTACACCCGTTAATATACTGAATACCGGGATATTTTCGCCTAAGGTTATTTTCGCCCTTGTACTATAATACACGAATTCGCTTCTTTGTTCATTTCGCCACATGGGATGTATATAAAATGTTACATAAATGTAACAACGTCTGTCGCCATCTTAAATTCGCTCTGTATGTTCATGGACGTAAAAGACGAAAAGTACATGAGAATGACAATAACATGAGGGCGAAAATTTCTCGGAATACAGTACATTGATGATGAAGGACGATTGTTGGTTTCCCGCTAAATCCGCCATATTGTTACAGATATAACAGCAGATTCGTTTTTGTCACTCCTGATATAAGTAAGGTAATTGTGATCGCTGTTGTAATTGTAGAAGCGCTTACCTCGAACATTTTCTCAGACAGATTGATAACAACTCAATGTTGATGAACGTTAAACATACAGCAGTAACTACTATGGTAAAGTTTTCCTCGTGTTATGAAGGGTACTAAAATCTTTTTATACATTTACATGTTAACAGGAGTAATATAATTATTTATTTGGACATAACAAAACCTACCATTTTATAGACTGCGGTTTGTCTCGGACAGGGGATAGAACCCAAAACCTTCCTTACTAAACTCTGGTACATCTCGGACAGGGAACAGAACCCAAATCTTTCCTCACTGGGCTGTGGTTTGTATCGGCCAGGGGACAGAACCCAAAGTCGTCCTTACTAGACTCTGGTATGTGTAGACAAGGGGACAGAACCCAAAGTCTTCCTTACTAGACTCTGGTATGTGTAGACAAGGGGACAGAACCCAAAGTCGTCCTTACTAGACTCTGGTATGTGTAGACAAGGGGACAGAACCCAAAGTCTTCCTTACTAGTATGTGTAGACAAGGGGACAGAACCCAAAGACTCTGGTATGTGTAGACAAGGGGACAGAACCCAAAGTCTTCCTTACTAGACTCTGGTATGTGTAGACAAGGGGACAGAACCCAAAGTCGTCCTTACTAGACTCTGGTATGTGTAGACAAGGGGACAGAACCCAAAGTTTTCCTTACTAGACTCTGGTATATCTCGGTCAGGGGACAGAACCCAAAACCTTCCTCACTAGACTCTGGTAAGACTCGGACAGGGGACAGAACCCAAGCCTTCCTCACTAGACTCTGGAAAGACTCGGACAGGGGACAGAACCCAAGTCTTCCTCACTAGACTCTGGTAAGACTCGGGCAGGGGACAGAACCCAAGCCTTCCTCATTAGACTCTGGTAAGACTCGGACAGGGAACAGAATATGAATGACAACCTGTTACGGACTGGCAGTGGTTAAGTCAACTCATTAGGGTATACTTGTAATTAGTGACCTGCCAGTACAATACTCCCGGGGTTCGATTCCCGGAACAGACGTGTAAAGGTATGGGGTCACCTGCCCGACCACATGGATTTTCCCAGGGTACTCCGGTTTTCTGCCTCAGTAATAACACTTGCATACTTCCATCCGGGCCAACAAGAGTGAATAAAATAAATTGGATTTTTTAAAGTCAATTTAGTTCTTTTTATCACAAGCATCCTCAGAACACATCAGTCCAACCCTCTCTTCCTGAGAATTTAATATGAAAAATATTAATAGTCTTCTTCAGGACCCAAAAGTACCAGAACTGTTGTAAGGCTGTATAGCTCTTATGGAATTTTACCAAAATTGGAGGAAAAAATGTAGCTAAAATTTATACGCCAAGTTCATATTTCTGTCTTGTCAAGATATAGTAATAACGTCCTAGAAGCTTACCGAAACTTTAAGTTAAGTGGTGCCAGGGGGTAGGACCTCCAAAGCTCAAATTTATTAATTATTCTCCTGTTCAGGATCGTTTGAGCGACATATTAATGTTTAATCTTTGGTGAAGAGCAAAATGTGTTTCCTGTTTGATCTCAGGACGGGGTCAAATTTTACTATAACTTACATCGGAAAACACTTGTCTTCTCATGAACGACACGTGATACATGTTGACTAAACCTGGTTAAGATAATCCAGATAGGGGTAGAGGGATTCCACAAGGTGTTACAGGAGGTCCTGATTCCCGGACAAGCAGAAATACAGGATGACAAAGAAATACTTTAGAAAAACGTTCGTCCTCGCAATGTCAGAACTACATAGTACTGACTGTATTTATTTCTACAGAGGAGAAATAAAACTGAAGTTAGCTACCGTTAAGGCCGATAAAACATCTTATTTCTTTTTATTCCATTGTATATATGTGTGCATGTGGGTTTTTTTTCAAAACTTGGAAATAAATCATGGCTGATATCTCCAAAGCCTTGTAAGTGTCTGTCGGCGTTGATTCAGAGTGGCATTAGTATTACGTATAGATGTATCCTAGAACACGTCCTGGTTTTATTTCCTCGCTTGTCACACTTCCGACAACTGGCAGGCGAACAATTCCTCTTGTATCAACAGTGCACGTTTGACATATAAACCTTACCATGATAAAATCTCGCGCGCCGACATCTTGTGCCCCGAGGTCCAAGCAGTGACCTGACCTTTTCCTTAGGTCATGGGTCATGACATAATTAACTGTATTGTGTTTGATTGATAAATCGATAATATTACAAGAAAAAGTCGTCAATACCTGTATTAAATAAGATATATGTAGTAAGCAGTATGACTTTGGTAGAAGAATCTTTGAAACTTGCCAAAAGATTGCGTCTGTAGTTTTCAGTGCGTGTCACCTTGCGATATCGAGATAGAGAAAATGTACAGTGTTATATGGTTGACTTATGTAAATCCTGACTCCTTATCTTACAATTACATATCCCATTTTATTAGAATCCTCTCCTGTACATCAAAAAAGATGTTAAGGGTTGGATCAATCAATAGAGCGGAAAGGCGTGGCTAACGGCATCCGGTTTTATTTGAATGTTAAATCCAGTTTTCTACCAATTAAGATTCTAATGCGTGTTGCAGGCTGCAGCAAACAAATTGACGTACTTTTGTTGTAATTCTCGTGAGACAAACATATTGTTTTTACCTGATAGGGGTATCTTGTGTAGTACACTTACCTGTTAGGGGTATCTTGTGTAGAACACTTACCTGTTATGGGTATCTTGTGTAGAACACTTACCTGTTAGGGGTATCTTGTTGGAAGACTTACCTGTTAGGGGTATCTTGTGTGAAACAGTTACCTGTTAAGGGTATCTTGTGTGAAACAGTTGCCTGTTAGGTGTATCTTGTGTAGTACACTTACCTGTTAGGGGTATCTTGTGTAGTACACTTACCTGATAGGGGTATCTTGTGAACACTTACTTGTTAGGGGTATCTTGTGTGGAACACTTACCTGTTAGGGGTATCTTGTGTGAAACAGTTACCTGTTAGGGGTATCTTGTGTGAAACAGTTACCTGTTAAGGGTATCTTGTGTGAAACAGTTGCCTGTTAGGTGTATCTTGTGTAGTACACTTACCTGTTAGGGGTATCTTGTGTAGTACACTTACCTGATAGGGGTATCTTGTGAACACTTACTTGTTAGGGGTATCTTGTGTGGAACACTTACCTGTTAGGGATATCTTGTGTAGTACACTTACCTGTTAGGGGTATCTTGTGTGAAACAGTTACCTGTTAGGGGTATCTTGTGTAGTACACTTACCTGTTATGGGTATCTTGTGTAGAACACTTACCTGTTATGGGTATCTTGTGTAGAACACTTACCTGTTAGGGGTATCTTGTTGGAAGACTTACCTGTTAGGGGTATCTTGTGTGAAACAGTTACCTGTTAAGGGTATCTTGTGTGAAACAGTTGCCTGTTAGGGGTATCTTGTGTGGAACACTTACCTGTTAGGGGTATCTTGTGTGGAAGACTTACCTGTTAGGGGTATCTTGTGTGGAACACTTACATGTTAGGGGTATCTTGTGTGGAACACTTACCTGTTAGGGGTATCTTGTGTAGAACACTTACCTGTTAGGGGTATCTTGTGTGGAACACTTACCTGTTAGGGGTATCTTGTGTAGAACAATTACCTGTTAGGAGTATCTTGTGTAGAACACTTACCTTTTAAGGGTATCTTGTGTAGAACAATTACCTGTTAGGGGTATCTTGTGTAGAACACTTACCTGTTAGGGGTATCTTGTGTGGAACACTTACCTGTTAGGGGTATCTTGTGTGGAACACTTACCTGTTAGGGGTATCTTGTGTAGAAAACTTATCTGTTAGGGGTATCTTGTGTAGAACACTTACCTGTTAGGGGTATCTTGTGTAGAATACTTACCTGTCTTCTCCACATAGATATTAACGATCGGCTCACAGGTATATTTCAACAGCGTTCTTTTTCTGTCATTTTAATGACTATGTTAATAATTTATTTCTTGAAATGGGATTAAACTCACATTTTCCTCTGTGTCATGTTCAAGAAAGATTATTGTACAATGTAGACGTAAGGAACGTTATTTTTTCTATTGGAACATGGATGTAAGAAATGAAGATAGATCATGCTTGGTTAGAAAACATGACGAAGTGTTTCCAACAAATGATGTACAGTGAAGTGTGTGCTGTGTGGTTTGAGATACGGAAGTTTATCAAGAAAACCAATATCATACACTGTACACTATAAACTATCGACTTTGTCTCTGTTTATATTCCATTGTTGGGTCTGATTTGTTTATTTATTGAAGGAAGGAAAGGGATATGTACATTTTGTTTGTAGTTGTAAGAGACTGGAATTCGTTCGTCGGAAATACAAACTCCAGCACTCGTGGGACCCTGTACTCGTCAGTTTTATGTGTCTAGTTATTACAATAGACAATATACTATAAGTACACAGACCAGTAAGGTGAGCGGTGGTCAGGCTCTAGCCGACAGGCTGTCACCATGTGACAAGTGTCATTAGGCAGAGGACATTCCAATCGCCAAGAAATATGTAATATGTAAAGTGTCGTAACTAGGTGATAAAACACGTGTTTCTGTCTAGTTTGACAGCCAATGGTAACAGATCATTTGATCAAGTAATACACTTCCCATCATGCATTTGTACACTTCCGATTTATTTTAATTTTCGTCCTTCCGTCTGATGAATTCGACGTTGGATGTTAGAGATACATGTAGAATTTTCCACAAGACAATATAACTTATAAAGCAGATTCCTTACAACGAAAAATTCTGTCTCTTAAATGATATTTTAATGTTAATATTCACATTCATTATACGATTATTCATTTTTATAGAAAATGTGCAATTTAACCGATTATGCTAATTTTTGAGATGCGATTATTGGCATTAAGTCGGGTTGTCATTTCATTGACAGATATTTCTGTCTACGGTACCTTTCTTAAACCTAGTAGTTCCAAAAACCGACCTTTTCCGTAAAGGATTCGATGTCCTTAGTCAAGAAGGATCTCGAGTAAGGATAAGCATGATTCGTTAAAAGTGTATTTCAAAGAAATAGCTTGGGAAATTCTTTAATATTTTAAATTAAGGAAACATTTAAGTTCAGGCATATCCGTGACATAAGGCCAGGTGATGAGACATACTTAGCAAATATATATTTTTGGAAGGAACATACACAACGGACTGATGCTAGTTCTACAGTAATAAGCAAACATGTTAAAAGTATGTTACTGAATCTGAAAAAAGATAACAGTGCTGTAGAAGTATACGATATCATACATTATAGAATATTTACCATAATTTGACATTCCTAGGATTTAACCAAGGTCAGCTGTGGGTGTAGTAAAATCATTACGAGTAATGTAGACAGACTGAAATCGCCTTCCTTTGTAACAAGACGAAAAATAAAATGATAACTACAAGCATTGACCTGTTTGTGGATGGCATTCATGGGCAAATGAATGTCAAGAGTATAGGACAGATTCAATGAAGTGTAAGAAAATAAATATATGCATATACTTACATATAATTCTACTGACGATATCGTTATTGTATTTTGATGTATTGTTTGAAGCTCTGTTAAAAAGTAATGTCATTTTTGTCCAAACATCCCATGATAGTATGAAATCTTCATCCATACTTACATAGTACTATCCCGTTATCACATCTAAATAATACATAACATCCTTAGACAAGCCGCAACCCGACTGCACAGCACGTTCTACACTAACAACAACTAAACATAAAACAATACAGATGTAATTCCGGAACAAGTAAATATATCACTTGTTGTTTTTTGTCAATTTTTAAATTTTCATAATTTCAGATGATACAGGGTTACACACACACGCGCGCACGCACGTACACACACAAACACACACATATATATATCTAGAAAATGCACTATGTATTTAATTTCTAAATATTTAATATAAAATATAATGTATGTTTTTATAACATTAAAATTATAATTATATATAATTATGATTTTAATGTTAAATTAAAATAATGCTTAAAACAATATATATATTGTTTTAAACCGCCATTCCAATATATATATATTGTTTAATAACAATAACAATATATCTATTGTTTTAAACAGCCATTCCAATACAGGTGCTAAAATTATCGCACTCTGTGTATTAGTGACGACGAACTGTCGTATGATAATCAAAATTTCAAGATCCTTACCTATTCTTTTTGTTTGTATATGTTAATTTTTTAAAGTTTTAATTGTGGAGTTTTGGTGAAGGTGTTGTATATGTTAAAATAATTGTCATACGTCATTGCTTGTATTTCACGATAGTTTAACAGGGAAATTATCTTAATATGAAATCAAATACACGTTTTATTATTCTATAATTTTTAATGAGCGATACATGACTTCAGCGTGTGAATTTGTGTTAGTACGTAACCACGGGCTTATCAGGGTCTGACACTAGACATCATGTAACACTAGCGATAGGTTAACGAGCCACCGTGACTTCTCGTAAAAATACTGACGGATTACACAATCACGTGCTGGTCAGTCGAGATTACCGTTGATGAGTGTCCGCTCTCCGCTGGCCATCTTATTGATCTGATGACCAGCCAAGGTGATTAGTTCGGGCCACGGATGGTTACCGTTAGAAGACTTAGCAACTGATCTTTTGTTTTAATTTTTGACAAAAAAGTTGATTGAGTTTTATTTTAAATCTGCTTGAAGTTGTAGAAATGGATTCTAGACTAGCGTGTGTGCTGTGTTTGGTCTGCTACATACAGGTCTCCTTTGCCCAGCGATTTTTGATACGGGTAAGTATCTTAATTTATCTATTATAGAGATGGACTACCATTTTCTCATTTTGACAATTTTCTATATCACTTTTTTTTCTTTTTGTGTTTTATAAAACTCTGAGAATGGGAAAACTTGATGAATTATTTTGGGACACTTTAGTATGAAATACAAACCTCAATTTTACCAGCAACAAGAAAACGCACTTTTTATCGTATATAGAGTTATTGCTAAGATACTAAGACATATTTTACGCTGGAAAAATCTCTTTTTTTATTATTTTTTTTTCATTTGAAATAAGTAAACGTATGGTTTTAGTTTCGCAATGAAACTTCAGGTTTCAAACTGACGAGGAACAAGTACATGAATGTTTGTCTGTGGTGGAAAAGTATCACACAAGTCTATAACAACAAACCCTTAACTATGTACCATCCAACTACATTAGTGTAGTGGGAAGTGGCCTACCCTACATTCAGATCACATACAGCAAAACGGTAGCGCGAAATCAATTAATCTGAAATGGTAAAATGGCAAACTGGCATTAAACCAGTATCGATACAACAATGCACAATGATGTTTTCCTAAAGCACGGATTTAATTGTGTAATATGTAAGAAAACGCACCCTGTCTTATTTCCTGGTTCCCGGTGTGTGGGATATTTTTCTTCACGGCGTTATCAACTAACACCTGCTTTGTGGTAGATATAATGAACCGTTTCTTAATTAGAAAATTGCATTTGATCAAACGAAAAAAGGATTTAAAAAAAATATCATTTCAGTTTGGGTGAAACCTAATTATTCATATCGAGCCACAGCTTTTAACAGGGGAGGTAACTCTTACTGGTGGCTGAATCACTGGAATAATAAAATTGAGTGTAAAATGCTGTCTCTTACAGTTGAATGTGATGTACAGAAATCTATAATTATGGAAAATGCTTGAAATCTTTAGGAAATGTCAGTGTTACAGATTCTTCCTTCAAAAGTAAGATAGTTTCGTGTAATGTACTTTGATAGAGGCACGTATATCAATCATCAAGTAAAATATTTACGATGTTTGTGAATGATTTTAACGACACGATATCAACTAAAATATAAATAATAACCGGTAACATTAGTAAGTGGCGAATGATAATTAATCAACATTTTATATATCAAGGTCACATTTTTGACAGATAGGATACAGTGATTCCAATTTAATCTCACCCTACCTATCCCCACCAATTTATTTCTTTCCCTTCTCCTCTTTCTCTCTGTGTGCTTCATTTCCACTCTTGATGTCCCTCTTAACTTCCGAACTAATAGCACCCTGGATGTTGGTGTCCCTCGTGAAACCCGTCCTGATATAATCCCGGATGTTGGTGTCCCTTTTGACACCCGTCCTCATATCATCCCGGATGTTGGTGTCCCTAGTGAAACCCGTCCTCATATAACCCGGATGTTGGTGTCCCTTTTGACACCCGTCCTCATATAACCCGGATGTTGGTGTCCCTCGTGAAACCTGTCCTCATATCATCCCGGATGTTGGTGTCCCTCGTGAAACCTGTCCTCATATAATCCCGGATGTTGGTGTCCCTTTTGACACCCGTCCTCATATAATCCCGGATGTTGGTGTCCCTTTTGACACCCGTCCTCATATAACCCGGATGTTGGTGTCCCTCGTGAAACCTGTCCTCATATAATCCCGGATGTTGGTGTCCCTTTTGACACCCGTCCTCATATCATCCCGGATGTTGGTGTCCCTTTTGACACCCGTCCTCATATAATCCCGGGTGTTGGCGTCCCTCTTGACAACCGTTCGCATATAGCCCATGCTGTAGCGGAGACGTTGAATTTGTTAAAATAAAGTGTTACTTCCATTGAATTTAACGTCAAATCAGAACACTGGGTATGTCTTTAATTAAAAATATCAATACATCTTATTGATTAGGAATAATGACATAGGTAACATTGTATTTAGTTGTACTTGTTGAGAATGGGCCTGCAAAATATATGTATTCTTAGCAAATAAAATACCCAGCGTCATTTTTAAAATACAAGGGAGACAACTCTCGTGTAAATCACGGAGAAATGAGGTAAACATTTGGTGGTAATATTAAGATATCACTATCTGTGATACGTTAATGTGATCAATCTTGGTCTATACGTCAAACAAGGTTGGAAGTGTACCCTTATTTCAATCATTTTTTTAGAATCCGGAGGCCCGTTTTGATCCCCGTTGGAGCCGTCCAGCCATCTCTTCAAGTCAGGTATGTAATATATATGTTAGTGAAGCTGTATCGAATCAAGGTTGCAATGCTAGACAGTATGATTGGTGGTCAGTGATGTCACTACCAGTATTACCATATGTAATCACCCAGTATATTGTAAAATCGTAATAACATCGACACAAACGATTGTAGCAATGTGATTACTCACACTACGCTATGTAGACATGTAGATTCAGTGTCTTTATTATAAATTTGTATTTTGTGTGATTTTTAGTTATCGTGGTATTATCTTAACATTTAAATGTAATGCGAATCTTTGTTCTGTCACTGCCACAGTTACCTCCCTTTGTTTCCATTACCCCAGTGCAATACCTTGACAGACGATGGGTGCTGGAGCGGGCATGAATACCTTATTTTAACTTAAACTCGACAAATTCCTCTTGCAGGGCGAGTGGGGTGACCCGTTCCCAGGCTTACGTAGCGGTCCGAGCAGGGAAGACAGACAAATTATGCGGGTCCATGATATTGGATTACTTGGGGACAGACTGACGAGTAGAAACCGACACTCCGGAATGGGAAGTAGGACACGGAGTCGTGGATCACATATTGCAATAGAGATTGACTCAAGGGGACGTACAAGCTCGCGCGGTAGAACTAGATTTATTGATTCCGGATTTCTCGGAGACTCCCGCAGATTCAGAAGTTCCCATGGTTCCTCGTCTACAAGATCGTCCTTTGACTCTTTCAACTCCAGAAACTCTCCGGACATCATAATGATCAGTTCTCGTCTGCCTTCTTCAGACAGACGTATAACAGACAACGGAGGACAGTTTGCCGATGTTGGGATTCAAAGTTCATCACAGCCCGTCATCATTCGATCACGTGACCAGGTGCTGTCTCGATCTGATTTTATACGCAGTTCCCGACCTCCGCATGATACTCGTGTAAAAGTTGAACCTGTTGTTTCTTCTTCACAAAGCACAGTCCCAAGTGGATCTTGGCAGGAAATGAATGTTCCGCAACTACAGACGGGTGTCGATTCATTTAATAACAACCAGCCGCAAACCACTACCATTATAAACAATACAAACGCGCCTACAAACACTGGTACACGATCACCGGATATACTTATCCAAACATCTGCGCATGTCAGTCCAGGCGGAAGTAATTCCTTGGTTAGTCAGAGTACTACAAGTACGAATGTCACAAACAAGGGAACACTCTCAAATACTCATACAGTAAGTGCGCATGCGCCAGCAAGTTCTTCCCTCCAAAATGTTCTGATGTCTCTCGTAGGCTCAATCGACCTGAACCATCATCGACTACCCCGACCAACAGAGGAACCACTGGAACTCGAGGAGATACTAATGCGTAAACTTATGGCGAGGGTGTGATACGTCAACTGAATATAACGTCATGTCTTAATGAGGTGACGTCATTTGATACATCTGTCAGCTAGCGAATCAGGACATATTCTTGTTTTCGTATCATACTTTAATACTGTGTTTTGGTAATATCGCTTTAACTTATTCATAAAACATGGAGTTTCCCAAATAACTTGTATACAGTATAAGTAATTTACTCTTAATTTGACTTTGTTTTCCGCAGATGATCAGCTGATCCTTTCATCGTGTCAAAGTCACTAATTATGTTAAGAATTGTTAGTTTGGAACTCTCTTGTAAAGTATAATGTCACACTAAGGCCACGTACAGCCTTAAATACATTTTTGTTTATACGGTGAGCATGTATATATTTATTAATCGTTATGGTTTATGAATACAACCGTGTACACGAGTTGCAATGTTAGCGTGTAGCTTAATTTATTTCTTTTTTTATATAAACGGTGAAAATATAAAAGATATTTCTAAATCGTAGGTATCTATGTTGTGCATGTAGTGTGTGTATATAGAGATATAGATTGAAGAATGTTGACTAGGGTAAACTGTAACTTGTAGACATGAACGGATAAAGTAACTATTTAACATAAAATGGGCTTAATCAGCCTCATTTTGAATTATCTCAAATTTTCCTTAGGATTTTGACCAATTTTTTGTTACAATAACAGCATGAGGGGGAAACAGATATAAAAGAAACATCCTGAAACATCCAGATGCATCCCGAAATATCCCGATACATCCCGATTATCCACGGTCTGCCTTGAACATCATTACAGTAGTTTTAACACAAATTTAGAATGTAGATAATTCGGTACAGCTGGTACACATAGAATTTTACTGACCGTCTATTAAAAATAAAAATTGATTCGTCACAAATCTGTCTTGTCTTGTTTGTGTTTTATTCATTTGATGAGATAACCAGTTTTATCCCGGATTTCATTTCACAATATGACAATGAAAAGTTGAGTGGAAGTTAAACAACTAAAATAAATGTGTAATGACCATTACAAAGATCCAACATTTCCATGTTATGAGACATTTTCAATATTAGGCCTGTCAGAGGTCCATGTTTATTTGTTGGGTTATCTGTTGTCGGGCATTGAACACGGTATCTTAAATGATGTGGGCGTTTCAAGTTAATATAGTTTGAGATTACCATACTAGTCTGGTTTTCGCGGGAATGGGCCTTAACGGTCAACATTCGTTTTTGAAATTGTTGCTGTTTCAAACGAAATTTGGTTTGAAATCCACGCAATCATTCAGGAATACTAGCAAAGGAAAGCAGTTCGGAGGGTCCGCCCTCAGTCCCCAGGGGTCTATCCACTTTATGAATTTAAGTAATGATTTCCTATCCCTAATGATTTTGAGACCAAAGTTGGTTGAAAAAAAAAACATGTCTGTTGAGGCTTTGGGGAAGTGTAGGATCTCAAAGCAAAACTTTGGCCATATTCTTCATTCGAAGCTCCTCCCCCTGTCCCAAGGGGTCGAATTCATTTCTTAAATTTAACAAATTATTGTCAATCCCGTGTAATTTTTCAGGCAAAATTTAATTTAAATTTACGTGGGAGTTGTGGAAGGGTTTAGAACCCAATTTCTCAATCTAAAGGGTTGCAATATGCTGGAACTGTAGCCTGGTTTAAAGAAGAAATGAAGCATGGCTTCTTATATAAATGTACATGCCAAGATTGATCCTGGTTAAATATCTATGTATATCTTAATTGTGATGTTTCACACAGATGTGGAGATACCAGTAATTGTATAGCTAGTTGTTCTGTAGTGTTTGAGAAATACATATCTTCATAAGAAATATATCATAAAATCCCGCGTAAACTCCAATTAAGACAATGAACGAAAACCCCACAACCCCTATGACGTAAGACAAGAAACTGCTCACTCGGGCAAATCATTGCTAGTAAGACGACGACGCATGTACATTTTACGGACGCGTTCACTAGAAGCAATGATAATCAGGAAAGAAGCTATTATTATTGAACATAAAGTAATACACATTACATGTTAGATATAAGTGTATGCATCTAAACATGTCCCTGCTTTACTTATTGTATACGAAAGTTTGTCGTAGGGTCGGATATGGATCGAACTACAAGTTGTACCTGAAACCGGAAATGGTCAGGGGGCTGCTTTGCTTTGTAAGACTGATTTTACACACACGTCTTTACTTCCGGTTGATTTCGACACACGTGTGAATAAGTATACATAGAGTGTGCTTGTTGTCTCTAGATTTGTGACATGTCCAGTTCTAAGTTCGCGTTACAACAACTCTCAAAACATGGCTGGAAGGAAGGTATAGTAATAATGACACAACTCATTCTGAGCCGTCACTTTCATGTTGAGTAAAGACGTATTCACTAATTAGTCCAGGTCAAGGAGAACAGGCACCTGTACAATGTATATGGAACGTATACCAACACAAGCAAAAATCATGTTCACTATGCATCAAAGTCATATCTGCCTATATAGCCAGATTGCCGATCCTCCAATTCCGACAGACATAAACTGCATACGTGGTATAGTACTATCCAATAATTTGTACACGTAACGCTACTGTTATCGTACCTTGTAACGAGAATTGATGTTGTGTATAAGACGAATATTAATAAATACAGTTAGATATATACTTTAATATTGATCCTGAAGTTTATGTGTAACGGTTGTTTTCAGGTTCTGGACTCGGGAAGAGTGAAAGTGGTATAAAAGAAGCAATAAAAGTGAAAATCAAACACGACACACACGGGGTAAGATTAGTACATACCTTTTACTACATTTAAACAGGTTGGGCACAATCCTGATAGGGGTAACATTTACTCACCTGTGCCATAAAAACGTGTCATTACAGGACATTTAACTTATAAACACTTTAACTATCTTACACTGTTTTCGTTTCTGATTTTGTATTTGGGTTGGTAGTTTCTGAATAACTATGTTATAGAAGGGTAGGATTGTTGCAACAGATGTGGTTTTCTGTCAAGTTTATACGCCAAGGGACAGTTTTTTTTATTTGAAATATCCGACCTTCCGACTGCTGTAATAAATAACTAAAACATGAGATCATCCTGTAAATCACTTCTGATGAGAGATCTACACTAGTTACATTAAAGTCTAATTATTTATCATCAGATTTGATTAATGTTACCATCTTATGCAGGATTAAGAAATTCAGCACAATTTTACAACAAACCTGTTGTAGTTGTAACCCTGGTAAAATACAAGCTGCAATATACCACTTGGCTAGAGAGAACTTCTCTATAGCTCGATTGGTTGAACGTCAGACTAGTAAGCCAGGGGTCCTGGGTTTGATTCCTAGCGGAGGCATTGAGATGAAAAATGGTGGCTTGGTATTCTCAGGTATCAGGAAATTTATGTAATATAACGATACACTGGGATCTATATTAGGACTTCAGTAGAACAACTTTATGTGGAAAGTGTGATACTGCATACAATTGTTGGTAGTTTATAAGTGTGGTTACATAGATACATTGACAAGGATTAGTGTTTCTATCATACCATTATGGTAGCCAATAAAGGGTTCATTATTGTTGACTTTTCTCGACGGTCCCTGTCTGTCAGTGGAAATTTGTTTTTATCCCTGAGTAGTATTAAGTATATGTGCTATGTTTTTACAGCTGAGTAGCTGTTATTCACTTATACTTACACATTTGCAGAACTGTGTCCAACCTATTTTAAGATGGAATGGAATACATTACAGAATGTTTGCTCTATAAAAATTACAAGTCGAGGAGCTGATAAAGAACATTTTCTTTCTGTAAACTTTCTGATCTGCAGACCTCCCATACATGATGAACTCTGTCTATGATACGCTCTATAGCAAATTTCAACACATTTTGTTATTGATCTTATTGATTTGCTTTCCATACAAACATACTAAGGGACTCATCATTAAAAGTGTAATTGTGAACTACAGACAACATAGAATGTTGCTGACCACAAGTGGTATGATAGGAGAGATATAGACCAAAATTACCCATTTGTAATCATTCCTGGATTGTTGTTATTGGTAGTCAAATCTATTCAGGAAACTATCGAGTAAAACAAAATTAAAATTACATTTTACTTCCTCAGGTTGGTCATAAAAAAGGAGATGAATTTGCTTTCCACTGGTGGGATCATGTGTTCAACAAAGCAGCCAGTAACATCAGTGTCAACTCCACCGAGGTATTACCATACTATGATATGGTTAATAATACTGTATAACACAAGCAGAAGATGCTAACTCTTCTGGAACACCTGGTCTTATCTTCCTTGTAAATTTTCAGAAGTCTTTCTTTTGTTAATATTTTTGTTATGTTGACTTATGATATTTTCTTGTTGTTTTTTATGTAGATATTTAAGAGTAATCTTATCTAAATTTCTTTTTGCATGGAAAGCAACATGTTAAGATATGTTTACGCTAATTTCAGTTTCTTTATAATGTGTTCAAAGAAGTTATGGGGGATAAAGAAATTTATCAATGTGCAAATTTTCTAAAAAAAAAAAAACAATAATACACTAAAATTTGATTGCAGTAAATTAAGTACATCTACAGCAGTACACTGTTCACTGTGTAGTCTCAATAATTCCCAACAGTAATGTCAGCTCACAGAGGCACTACGAATAAATGTATTTAGTAAACCCATAATCTAATTTCAATGTAGCCATCTTAAGACCATCAGAAGTAGTCAGATCTGTGAGTAATTAATTTTCTAGTGGTTCTGTGTGAGACATATTCTGTATCTGTGTAAGACATATTCTGTATCTGTTGTACTAGTGGAGACATATTCTGTATCTGTGTGAGACATGTTCTGTATCTGTTCTGTATCTGTGTGAGACATATTCTGTATCTGTTTGAGACATATTCTGTATCTGTGTGAGACATGTTCTGTGTCTGTGAGACATGTTCTGTATCTGTGTGAGACATGTTCTGTATCTGTGTGAGACATTTTCTGTATCTGTTTTACTTGTGGAGACATATTCTGTATCTGTGTGAGACATATTCTGTATCTGTTTTACTGGTGGAGACATTGTCTGTATCTGTGTGAGACATATTCTGTATCTGTGTGAGACATATTCTGTATCTGTTTTACTGGTGGAGACATTATCTGTATCTGTGTGAGACATATTCTGTATCTGTGTGAGACATATTCTGTATCTGTTTTACTTTTGAAGGATGGTGTCAATCTGAGTAAGAATAAGGACAGTGATAAGATCTCCACAACAACCACCAAAACCTTCGACAACAAGGCCATGCTGTATGGAAAATTCCTCAAGGTCTGTATACCTGTATAAATTCTTGTCTGTGGTTTCAGAATATTCTGATGTGATTAAGGATGTCTACAGCATTATCAAATTGTCTGATCACCTGTCTGGTAAAAAATTGTCTTTAATAAAATCCAGAAATCTTGGTAAAGCAAAGAAAGAAGTAGAAGAATTTTTCTTATTGGTTTGATGTTAAATCCTTTATAAAGAATTTTTCTTATTGGTTTGAAATTTAACCCTTTATAAAGAATTTTTCTTATTGTTTTGAAATTTAACCCTTTATAAAGAATGTTTCTTATTGGTTTGAAATTTAACCCTCTAGAGATTTTTTCTTTTTGTTTTAATATGAAATTCTTTAGAAATGATTTTTTTCTGATTGATTTGATATTAAATCCTTTAGAAAGTTTCACACACATTGGACTTGTGAGATTCTCCTGTATTGGATTTGGGAGATTCCCTTGTAGGCTATAGTCTAGTCCATTTGTTCTGTAAGAAAGTACATATCACTATTATAATGGCTTTGTCTACTAATAGGGTCTAAAAACAATAAATCTAAATCATTAAGTTTGGAGGGTTTTCATGTTATTGAACATTTGACAGTTCAACTGCATACCTTAATTTTCTTATAACATAATATAGATGTAGGCAATATTTTGTCCAGAAAACTAAATTCTTAAGGAAAGTAGAGTGCTTAGCACGTAAACCTGATGTATGGGATAGAGTGTGTGTAAACTGGTAGCTATATATAGTGTTTCCAGCTTCATATATCAGCTTCTCTAACCCACTTTGGGCTTGCTCATGTTGACAGACATACCAGTTTAAATGTATCATTTCAGGCATAAACCAGGAATGGACATGAAAATATAGATATTGTCCTTGTAAGGCGTAGTTGAGACTTGTCAGAAGAAAAGTAAGATCATTAGATCTGCTTTATCTTATAAACAGACGTCCCTGGTCCAACTGATAAATGGTTAGGTGGTCGGTGGTTTAGTGGTCACACACTCGTCTTTCACCCCTAGCTGTCCAGGGTTTGATTTCCAGATCAGACGTAGGTAGGGGGTCGCCTCTCTGACCTCACATTTTCCTCCTGTACTCTCACTTCCTTTCACAATAAGATGCATTGTGGGCTTCCATCCAGGCCAACAAGAGTCAATATACATCGTAAAAAAACCTGTTTCACAAATGTTTTAAAACAGATAAAATTCATATCAATATATTTAAACTGATAAAGAAAGGAAGGTCCTGCTTTGACATATTGTTATAATGAATGTCTTGCATTAAAATCATCAATGTTTCTGTTCAGGGAGCCACTTTGTCTAATGGGTCTTACAAGGCAACCAAGGAGGAGGATTCTGAGGATGAATATGAAGAGGATACAACTCCAGCAAGGTCAGCAATACAGTGTGTGTGTGTGTGTGTGTGTGTGTGTGTGTGTGTGTGTGTGTGTGTGTGAGGGTGAGTGAGGGTGCGTGTGTAGGTGTGTGATTGTGTGTGTGTGCATGTGTGAGTGTGTGTGTGTGTGTGTTTGTGAGTGTGTGTGTGTGTGTGTGTGTGTGTGTGTGCCTGCCAGCACAACCGATATCTGTAGACAGAAAATCTAGTTCTATAAAGTTATTTCGTATTTCTGTTTTACATTTTTTGACTAAGATTCAGGACTGAGAAGATGATGGTGCTATGGAATCATTTCTATTTTTTGTTATTTTCTAACTGGGACTCAGGACTTTAAGATTAATAATTCTGTAAAATGATTTCTAATTTTTGATATTTTCTAACTAGGATTCAGGACTTGGAAGATGCAGAATTATTGAAGGCATGCGGTGGAATGACTGGACACAAGTAAGTTGTGCGATATTTTATCTAACATACTCCAACAAAGGATTACGTGACATCAGACACCACATATGATAGGTAACACGATTTACCTTATCGTATTGATCTATTTAATCATTCATGTGTTTCCTGTTCTGCATTTATCTAATTTATGTTCTATAATTTCAAGATCTTTGTTTTGGAAGTGAACTAATCAAGAGGTGAAATAACATTAGAGCTTGCATATCAGACTTAAAAAGACCAGGGGAATTAAAACTACAAAAAATATTCATTGTTTCTGGATAAATTACATTTCCTTTTGTATGGTGGGAACTAGTGTCTAGGAGAGAGTGAAACAGTCATTTTAATGATACTGAGATTGCAGTAGTGAAGTTATAGTGTCAATACAGCATTTCTGTAAAACCAGTGGTGATAAAGTGATTGCCATCAACTACATATGTATTGTATCCTGCTCTTCAATAAGATATAATGCGATGAGTCAAAGATTATGTGTTAGCTTTCTCACCTTGGTGCCTCAAAGGCTGGTCTGAGACAATGAGTGGTTAGTGAAAATTTCAAATTGTTGAAACAGAAAATACCATTGTGAAAGGCAATCACTATAGCTTAAAATATATCAGTCTGTAAACCTACAGCTGGAAAACGATAAAGAATTTCTCAATTCTGTTTCGAAAGTTTTCACTAACAACTGATTAAATCAAACCAGCTGTTGAACATCAGGATCAGGTCTTGTTGGAGGTTAGATGCATTCAAGTGATCAATTTAATTTGATTATATTTTATACAGAACATAAGCTTGTTTAAAGAGTTGCCTTTGTAACATATTTAAAGTCACCTTCTTTTCAAAAGAGTTCCAAATCCTGATAGTTACTTTTGACTTATGTTTTTATAGGGCTGCCAGACACGGCCACAAGTTAAATGGTAAACTGGCCAGAATTCAAGAACAAGAAGCGTTGCTATTGGCTAAATACAAAACTGGAACAAGCAGAGGAAAAGACAAAATTGAGGATGGACACCAGAATGATGAGGATTTAAGTACAGATGTAAAAGAAAAGAAGAAAAAACGAAAGAAAGACAAATCAGAAAAGAAGAAACGGAAGAGAGAAATGGAAGACTTGGATAATAGCTCAGTGGAGGCGACAGTTGATACAGATTCAGCTTGTTCACCTGTGAAACTGAGGTGTGAGGAGACTTCCGAGTCTGTCAAAGATAAAGACATCAAAAAGAAAAAGAGGAAAGAAAAAATGCTGAAAAACATAGACATAACTGAAGTTGAGGTCCAAGAGATTGATATGTCTAATAGTAAAACAAACAAACAGACAAGTGATGAATGTGTACTGGAACATGACAGTACCATCAGACACTTAAAAAAGAAGAAAAAGAAACTGAAAGGAGAATCTTGTGAAGACGATGATACAGCCAGTACAGGAAGTGATAGACAAGATAGTGTAGTGGTCAAAAAAAAGAAAAGCAAAAAACAAAAGAAAGAAAAGTCATGTGATTAGATAACGTGGATTTAACTTAAATCAAATAAATTGATGAATTGATATTAAATGTTATTTAAAACTTTTTAATTTTCACAGAAGTAGATAATTTGGGAAGTATTAATATTTCTGTCTACTAACACTTAGAGAACTGTCCCTAGCTCTCAAGAATATGAAAAATGGGAAAACACCTGGGTCGGATGGATTTAATGTAGAATTCTATCAATTTTTTTGGAAAGATTTAGGTAAACTAGTTTGTAGGTCCATTAATTATGCATATTCGGTAGGAAAATTGTCTGACTTTCAATCACAGGGAATAATAACATGCATACCTAAAGAAAATAAAGATAGAAGATATATAAAAAACTGGCGTCCAATATCATTGTTAAATGTAGATTACAAAATTGTTTCAGCTGCCATAGTAAACAGGTTAAAGGGTGTTACCATCGATTATAAGTGAAACACAGACAGGGTTTATTAAGGAAAGATTTATAGGGGATAGTACTAGGCAATTATATGATGTTATGCATTTCTTAGAGGAAAACAACAAACATGGTTTATTGTATCTTCTTGATTTTGAAAAGGCCTTTGATTCGGTTGAGTGGGATTTTTTAGACAAAGCTTTAGAAATTTTCAGTTTTAGTTCATCTGTTCATAAATGGTTAACTCTTTTTTACTTTAACTCTAAAAGCTGTGTTATCAATAATGGTAATCTTTCTCATTTCTTCAAATTGGGAAGAGGCTGTCGTCAAGGCGAACCCGATATCTCCGTACATCTTTGTTATTGGGGCTGAGCTACTTTCTTTAATGATAAATTCTAACCAAAGAATCGGGGCTCTTACAATTGTTGACAAAAAGGTATTACTTGGACAATACGCAGATGATACATATCTCCTGTTAGATGGTAAAAGTGAATCACTATACGAAGCTGTACACATACTTGAAGATTTTTCTATGATATCCGGTTTAAAAGCAAATTTAGCAAAGTCCCACCATTATTGGATAGGCAATAATAAATTCTCAGATGAAATCATTTGTCCAGACATAAACCTAACTTGGTCAACTGAAAATTTTAGACTTCTAGGTATCACATTCTCCTTGAATCTGGATGAGATGGAAGAAATAAATTATGAACATACTTTGAATCAGGTTGAAAAAATGCTAAGGCTTTGGGTAGTACAAGATTTAACTATTATCGGCAGAATAAATGTATTGAAAACACTTGTTATACCTAAGTTTGTACACTTATTTAGTGTTCTGCCTAATCCGTCAACAGAATTTTTCAACAGAATGAATAGAGTATTCTATAGATTTATCTGGAATTCAAATACACAGAAAGCATTTTAGCTTTTAGTAAATATATGACAGTTAGATGGATAAAGAGATACTATTCAGATGTAGATAGTGGCTGGAAATCTTTTTTAAAACACATATAGAAAATAGATCCCGAGGTGCTCTTTCACTTGGATGCAGGAAAGTTGAGGGAGAAAGCAAAAAATGTAAAAACCAAATTCTGGTGTTTTGTATTATCTTTAGCAGAATTAAAATGTCCACCAAATTCTCTTGAAGAATTTTTAGCGTTAGATTTAACCTATCTCGTACCTCTCCAAAAAGTAAACCACTGTATCCAGTGGAGAAATTTTGGTCTGCACATGGTTAATGATTTATTTATAAATGGATTACCAAAACCTTGGGGAGAGCTCAGGCATGTGTTGCATTTAGATTGTATTGAATACCATGCAATTTTTCAGAAAATGAATAGAAATTGAAAAAATGAATACAGAATTGCTTTTGTGAATGGTGAAACAATTACTCCAATCAAAAAAGATATTGTTCAGAAAATGTTAGATATGAAAGACCAAAAATTAATATACGAGCTTTTTGTAAACAGTATAAAACATGAACCCGTTAAGACTCAGGAAAAGTGGAAGAAAGCTCTGTTACTTGATTAATTTGATTTTGAAAATATTTATAATGTTGCATTTCGTTGTACACAAGAGACTAAGTTACAAGCCTTTCAGTATAAGATTAATCATCGTATACTTATGACAAACCCAAAACTTTTTAAATAAAACTTACAGAGAGTAATCTGTGTACTTTTTGTAACAGAGAAGAAGAAACAATAGAGCATATTCTTTATTTCTGTTTTTACTCCAATGCGGCGATAGAAGAATTTTGTTCATGGTATTCTGATTATGATGATCAACATGTAGGTGTTCTACAAAGTACAGATGTAATTTTTGGAAATGCTAATTTTAGCGATATCTTGAATCTCTTTCTTTTATTACTTAAATACTACATCCATCAATGATGTTGTTCCTACTTTTACTGCATGTAAGACCAAATTAAGAAAAACTCTGGAAATGGAATTCTTTATAGCAAAACGAACAGGCTCACTTGGTAAATTTCATCGAAAATGGGGGACATTTGTCAATGCTCTGAGACATGAACCAGTGGGGGCAGATCATAGAATATTGTTCAGTACAGGTTTTTTATATTGATCATATTTACCATGTAATTTACCAACTCTAAAGATTTTGTCGTGTCTGGACTCTCTGCTAGTGAGTAAAAAATGTAAGAGGACATGACATTCAATGTGATGTATGTGTGCGAGTTTGAGAATCTGTATGTGTGCATGACCTGTGAGCGTGTGTAAGATGCAGGTACTAGCTGTACATATGGTTAAACTATAGTATGATTATACAGGCCCAGATTGTATGTCTTTCCCTTAAAGGAGTACATGCACCTTATTAATATATAACATGTGATTAGTGCATATTTTGGTGTGGATCTGTGGTTGTGTAAACAAGTGTAGGCCACTGTATATGTGTGTTAATCCATACCTGTGTTAAGCGAATATAGCATCATTCAGTATGTATTCTATTTATGTATCTACATAGTAAAATATTTGAAGGATGAATGTGTGAAGCGGTGTGTGAGAGCCCCCTGTGAGGGGACACAGTTTATTTATGAAGGCTGACCCAAAGGCCCCAATGGACCTTGGCAGTCTGCCAATATAATCATGAATAAATGTCTTGGAAAAAAGAAAGAAAAAAAAGAATATTTCTGATGTCATTGAGAATTTCTTGCAGTTTGGCTGTATTGTACACTGTGTATATTATTATACCTGTAGTGTGGATGGCAGTGTTGAGTCTTATTAGGCCTTATATCTATATACTGAATTGGGTGTCTGAAGCAAGGAGCAGTTTTCCTTGAATTTCATTTAAAATACGATTTAGCATCATGCAAGGGTATTTATGAAAGGCATTATGTAGTTTCTGCCAGGAACGTATAATTATGCTCGTCTGGCCCCACAACGTGACGACCCACCATTGACTGCCATCCACCTTAGAATGCCTCAGACCAAATATGTACAAAATGCAATTGTTTGTACAGAAGGAAGATTTGCTTAATTTCCCCTTTTTGGCCCAGCCTTTATTTTCTAGGAAGTCATACACACATGCCAGACGTTCTTGTCCCTGCAGGGCAAAGGCAGTAATATGCCTTGATAGGATCATCTGAATCAGTTTTTCAAATTGGATCCAATCATATTACTTTGTGACTTGTAGCGTGAATGAATCTGAGCTCGGATGAGATCATCCACATGCTGGTATACCCAGATCTCGTAGTCACCTTCATTTGACTGGTGCTCAGCAATATAACCAGGGGCAGGTTGATCTGGTAAATACCACATGGTAATGTCTCAAGGTACTCACGATTCAACTGAGGAAAGGAAACATTTGATGCTTCTAGTTTTCGCCACTCATTTTCGGCTCTACGAGTCATGTTTGGATCCTCCGCAACACGCTTCACAAGAGCATTATCTCTTTGCAAAAGAGATACCATGCGAGTTGCATTTTGTATGTCTCTCTGTTCACACTGGGGGTCTGAAACGTATATGGGCCCTCTGAAACTATTCAGGCTTGCGGTTACTATACGTACAAGTTTCCCAATGATTGTAATCAGATGATTTGAAGTGAGTGTATCTTTAAACAGTACCCATTTTTTAATCTTCCATGGTAAGACTCCACAACCCAATGTATCTTGGTACAGCAACGATCATCGTTAGCTTGTTGTGTCGCCTGCAGAGCTGGCAGACACTTAGGGATCACTTCCGTCTTCACACTTCGTCGGCGGCGGCGGCGGCGTTCGGACGAAAGTTTTCCAGACTTTTTTCGGTAATGTTTTGAGTTATCAAAATGAAATTTGGCATATGGCTTTTTGTTGCAAGGGTACAGATTAAGTTCGATTCCCGGCTGTCTGTGACCCTTTCAACTTAGAAAAGGAGGACTGACAGTTTGGGCCTTCTTTTTATTGTTTGTCTATTAAAAACTTGATGTCATGCGGTAATGACATGACATTAATCTAAGGTCAGCTGAAGGCTGTTCAGTTGTTATTATTGCAATAATTATCAAACTAAATTAAAAAAAAAATTTCTCTTAAGTGTCATTTGATGATATATTTCAAAACCTCATATGCCATTGTTGAAAAGTAGGTCACGGTAATTAAGTGCCCTAATTACTAATTAAGTCACACTTGAGCACCGTTTCCTGTCTTAATGCATCTATAAACAATACGTTTATCACGTGCAGTGTATTTATTTGAAATATTTTTGCAAATATGGATGATAATAAAATGGAAAAAAATCAATTTAGCACAGAGTTTCACAGGATCATTAATGACCCTTGTCTATTACTTACGGGAATGTATTTTTGTTTACTGCTTTAGTAAGGGGAATGGTGGTGTTGGGATATTCGTTAAGGAGTCACTGTCGCTGTCACAATCTGACCAGTTCTCCACCGTCATTGCGTCATCAAAACAACTTAGGAAACTTGAGGAGGCAGTTGTTTGTGCAGTATCAAACTGGTGTCGGTCATAAGAAAGATACCATAGGACAGATGCAATGTGGGCAGAGCAGCCGACTACTCTGGCACCAACCTTATATTGACAATACCAGCCTGATATTTGGGTCAGTCCATTTGAATATTCAATCCAAAGATTGTACACCTTCGAAGCAACATGTGAACGAATCTGAACTTTGATCAAGTCAGGTTTCTCCCTGCATAGCATAAGTTCATACTGACCATCTTCAGCTAAGTGCTCTTTGGTGTAGGATTTTGCCTGTTTCAGCTGATATACCCCCATGGTAAGATCTCTCAACTCTGGTTCTGATAACGTTTGGAAATCAGGCAAACTGGCCTCATCAAGCTTTACCCAAATAGACCGCTTCCTTGTTAACCCTTCCGCCTCAATAAGATTTTGAAGTTTGTTAGGTGTTTTGGACATTTCCATCATTCTCTCGGCAATAACAATGTCATTGGGAGAACTGGAAGCAAGTGGAGGGCGAAAGGCATTGCAAATTGCACAAACAATTCGTACAAAATCTCCTACAACGGGAATTAGTGTGTTTGACAGTACATGTCCCAACGTCTCCCACTGCTTAATCCGTCCATTGGCTGACTCAACAACCCACCTTACCATTGTAACAAGACGAGATTCATTTGCTTCTTTGACGGTATGCTGCTTCTGACCCGTCGATAGGAAAAATGGCATTTCTGTTTTGATACCAGAATCCCTCAAAAAATCTGTCACATCTCTAAAGCCTCTGTCAACAACAAGGACATCATCATCTTGAAACAAATCATTGATGTTCTCGGTGGTAGTTTTGAGCATGTGCTTTGTGATATTGGCATCATTGTTTCGACCATCTGCTAAATACGGACCAAGAACAGACAAGATATAACCATCAGAAACTATAAGAAGCATTGGCTTCAAGAGAGGACGTCCCTTGTGCATTAAGAGAGAGCGACGTTGGAATGTGTAATTACTGGATTTTTCAACATAAATATAAGTGCCATCAGCAACAACCACAGCGACATCCTCAGCTGAGGCAAACATTGTCTTTGCAAACATTGTAGTATGGTTTTGGATAACTTGTTCTCTTGTGATGTGATGCAGGCCAATGTGGGAAGGAACAAAGCGATTCATTAATGCTTTTCGAGCAGAGTGTATACATTTTCCACACGTTTACTTTGTCATATTGAACAAAGTAGCTAAAATTACTGCTGAGGACATGCCCGTTTTCAACTTTACAAGAACCGCTAATGCAGTCCTTGCACTTCTGTTTAGTGAATAGTACAGAGATGTGTTAACTGACTGTAAAAGCTCGGAAAACTGAAATTTATATATAAAGTCCTGTGACTTTCTTGATCATTTAATCCATCAGGTGAATCAAAGTCCAAACAACTTTTTCTAGAAGCCAGTGATCTCAGTGAAAGCAGGATTTCTGATATTTCAGATGAATCCAGTTTCGAGTCTTCACTAGTAGGAGTGAGTGACTGAAGAACATCGAAATGAATATCACCATCCACTATATGAGAAGCACAGCACCTAGATGTGTTTGGAATCAAGACACCTGTCTTAATGAAAATCTTAACTCTTATTTCCGTGCATGGTTTCACCATTTTACTTTTTTCATCTGTGGACGTTCCACATACAAAACATTGCGATTCAGTAAGCGTAGCTCGTGGAATATCAAGTTTGATTTTTTTAGAGTCAGGTGTCTCATTCTGATGGTCTAAACCACTGTTAGAATGCTCTACTGATTCATGGTGTTTGTAGAATCTCCCTCTGCATTTCTTACATACAGGGTCACAGTCTACAATCATATTGTCATTTTCACGTAACCATGATCTTAGAAGATCACAACTGACACGAATTTTAGATAATTGGTTTTCTTTTGCCCCATGCACATGAGATGCCCTTTGAAACTCATGATGGCTGCTTTTGTTTAGATAAATATATGTTCCATCCAAGATGAGATTTACGTTGTCACCATAGAATTTCTTTGTAAAAACTGTATTGTGGGATATGGCTTCATCACGAGAAATATCTCTCCCGTTCCAAGATATTTTGGCACAAGAGTTGTGTTGAAAACATCAACTACGTTGTGACACCACCTGGACAGTATAGATTCTGACTATTTGGTCAATGCTGTCATCTGCTTCCATGAAAGGTTAGTTTTTAATTTAACCCAGAAAAACAGAAGAACATCCAGTGAACTGGCAGAGAAAGTCAAAACTGAAAGATCGGATTTGCACAGTTCATGAATTTTCTTCAACTGTTCTAAGGTCCAGCCAGTCCATGCGATACAGCCGGTATCTGATAGATTTGCGAACTGTAGCTTTGGTGCAATTCCATCTTTGCCTATCCTGTGTATTATTTCAATAAATCATTAATAAACTGGCCAGAAATATCTCATAATTTTGCTTGTAGAGGTTCTCGATTACTTAAAGATACCTCAGTATCCGGATGCAAGTAAGTGCCAATAAGGTGTTGCGGGCAGATACGTGCATCGCGGAGGGCACCATAGGCATTTTTCAATCAGCAAAATATGGCGGACAGACTTAGGTATAGCAACACATAAATCATACTGTAAACTTATGGAACATTTGCGATGTGAAGATGAAGCATACTTAATATCAGTGATATTAAGGAATGATTGCATTGGAGATATACTAGTGTGATTTTGCAAATTCGCATCAATTGCGTTATTCACTGAACAATTATTGGACTACGATTCCTGACTACACTCCTCCTCCTCATGATAGTGTCTTTTCCTTAGATATTGTGTGTTACATATCTTACAAATATTACTGCCAACTTCTACAATCACCCTATCTTTCTTGAGGACATTTTTCAGCCAACGATTTTATGGGGAGTCTAGGCTCCTTGATGATTTTCTAGCCTTACCACAATCCTTAAATTGAATCTTGCAACTTGCAACGAAATGTGGAACTTTACCTTGCATACTGAATATGTTTACTAAGAGACTTAATCTAATGAACTGATACGGGCCCTCCAGGCCTCTTATGTTACTTGCAAAGATGTTTTTTAATCCAATGTCATCTCTAAACTTTTTTTATCTGAAATATGAAATATGAAATATATCACAACACCATATCAATCACATGAGGTTACTTTCGAGATTCTGATTCCACGAAATTAAGCTGCTAATTGACAAACTTACCGGTCACGATTTTTAAAAATTATATTAAAAGCGCTTGGGTGCACCGAAACTCGACGAGTTTGAAGAACTCCTCCTAAGATCAAACTTTGTTCTAAAAATCAAGAAAAAATCACATTTTTTTTATATTTAATTGATCATAACTTTTTTTATTCTCAATTTGACAAATAATGTTTGCTTAAAATGACAAATTGATTCCAATGAACAAAATAAGAGGTTATAAGAAGCCTTGCGATGAACCCTTGCTTTGTTATTGAGCCATTTCTGAACCTTACCTTATACCCTCAGTAAATGTCACAAATTCTATAACAATTCAGGCCCCATGGGCCTTTTGAATTCTTTAAGTGCTATTTCAGGGGAGTGTATTGGGGTGCTATAAATGCCACATGGTTTGGATTGAATCGGGTCCTGGGCAAAATTCCATTGTTCGTGAAAGAGGTCCTTTCAATGATTAAGAAATTGGTTTAATCGAAAAGGTAAAGTTTTTCTTTTTACAAAATTTTACAAAAGGATATGTCCGTACTATCACAGAGTTACTACATAGAATGATACTATTAACATGCTATGTTCACGTGCTATCAACCACGAACGTATTCCACCCATGAACATCAATAGCTGTAGACTTGTTCTTTTTCGAGTCAGGAACTATATAAGTTCTTGGAATGGCGATTGAGCAAAATAGTCATGAAATTGTCTGATTAGGGGAAAGTACCATAACCACAAACCATAGCTTTACAGTATATTTGACTGAGCATACATACATGTGCTGTACTTATAATTAGTTTGAAAGAGGAAACATGGTTCGTACTGGGCAGTAGAACAGAGTTGTAGACTGAATTCATAGAAAGAACAGAAAAGATGACAATGGAGACCCGGTTTAAAAAAATAAGTTATATTTCGTGTTTTCGAGGCACAAACGATACCTAAGTATGGATTTCACTGTGGCAAGTGATACTGATGCCAAGCTTCTGGATTCTGGAATAATAAATATTGTAGTTTATTGATGTATTAAATTTTATTGATAAAGTATTGAAGTTTATCGATCAAATAATGAAGTTTATAAACAAAGTATATTTAGTTCATTGATACAATAACGAAGTTTATAAAGTTATGTAGTTTATTGATAAAATAAACAAAGACAGGTACATGTAGTTCAATGATACAATTCAATAGTTTATAAAGCAATGTAGTTCATTGATAAAGTTACAAAGTTTATTGATAAAGTACATGTAGCTTTAAATAAACAGTCATTAAATAATTTCCAAAAACATGTCAAATAAGTATACTCCAGTTCTTGTTACATAACAGATCTATAAATAACTGTAAACCACCTGTTAAACAAGTATAAATACCTGTCAAACTCTTGTTGTTCAATAGCATCACACGTGCTGTTAGGACAGGTGTACATGTTTTGCTTTTTGTTGCAGTAGTAACAGCAGAACATCTTTACGTCTCTATCCCGATCGTCACAGATATGGAGCTGCTCGTCCAGGTACTTACACTGACACGTGGTGATGGGATCATTACAGACCGGAGCTATTTATACATAGTGAACAAGTAAACAGAATGTATAAAGTTAACGCATTGTATAGGTAAACAATGTGTAGGAATATGGTGTATAAGTAAACTAAGGTTAAAGAACTGGAAATTAATTGAGGCCGTTACTATTCAATTCCAAAATCTTGCTTGGTTGTATGATTTTAAGATTTAGATTTTTATATTTAAAAACGATCAAGTCACAAACTGCTTCCAGATCATTCAAGATTGAGTTTTATCATAACAATGACACCAAACAGCATGCAGTAACACGTTATACACGATATCAGTTGAAAAAAGGTCTCAATCGCCTCTTTACATAAAATGTACATGTACATGCAATCCAACCACCATCAGAAGTGTCATCATATATCATGATATTCTGATTATTAAAATCATTTCAATTTAAAATCATTAAAATGATATGAAATAATTCGTGAGTTGAAAGTAAGATACGAAGTGCTTTTAGAATGGTAAATGACCTATGGTGTTGTATTTCAACAGAAAGAATGATGATTTGTGAAGAACGCAAAACGGTAAACACAGTAATTACTATATCGGTTTTTTTTCCGTCAGATTTTGTAAGACGAAAAACAAAACCTCTCCGTAAGTTTTTTTTACAATCGGCAATCTATGAAAAAACTAATTATAAGAAGGTTATAAACTTTACCTGGTTTTGGGGTGGTAGCTGAGGATAAAAATATTCATATTTAGATAATGATGATTACATAAACAAACTTCTATCTAATTGATATATTTCATTGTGATGTGAAATATATAAAATAACACCATATATGGTCATACGATACATTTGGCTGTAGCTAGTGCGATTGAGTGATTTAAATAAACCTATTGACATGCAAATATATATATAATAAAAATAAAAATTAAATGACAGTATCCTGTGCAATAGGTTAGATGTAAATTATTAACACGTAACGGAATATATTAAATGTCACATTACCTGGTTGTGGTGTAGATCCTGGAGAAATAATCAAAAACTTATGAGTTTATGTTTCTTTAAAGAGGACAATGTTTTGGTGTGTTTTGCACGGTATATCTGTATTATACTATCGCAAACTAACCGAGAGCAAAGTGGATATACCGCCATATCAAAACACACTAAGATCATCCCCTTTCTTATTATCATATGCCAAGTTGACATCGAGGTCAGTAGGGGTCATTAGGGGTCATTAGGGGTCATATTGGGGTCAGCAGGGGTAATTTTGGATCATACCGAAGTCATGAAATCTTTCCTTGAACATACCAAGTCGTTAAACGGTCACAGTAGTTATTTCTAATGAAGAACGAAACGCCGCTTTCTATACCAGTGTTAAATAATGTCACGTACTTGTTAAATATTTCAAAAGATTGCAAAAATATCCAGTAACGAAGGACATATAGAAATTAGCCACAATATCTGATAGGAAACAATTTATTTTCAACTGCACATAGTTGAAGTTCAGAAGATAACGTTAACATTTCTGCAGAAGACACAATATCATGATGTGTGTAGCTGATTACTTGCAAAATATCTTAAAATTATTTAACATTACACGTACAACAAAAAGACAATGCGCTAATTTAACGATCGTTAATTTAAAATAAATCTAATATCATAGTGTCATCAATCAACCTTAATGTCTCTCATGCTTTTTATGGGCCCCTAGGTACAGAGGGAGGAATTCATTGAAGAAACATTTTCAAACATTTCAAGTTTCAGCAGTTTATACAGAGTTAATCAACAAAAACTAGTCCAGGTAAGAAATTAAACACTTTTTTAACTTCAAGGGCAATAACTCTGAAAAAAATGACCCTCCTTTGATGGTGGGAAGATAAAAACACACAAAAATACTTACCTCCATTACATATTCCACATGTCTTCTTACAAAGCTGTGGCTGTACACTGCATATTAATGTTGTAGTGGGGGCATCAATGGCACAACGATCACCGTCGTCATAACACGATCCTACACAGTATAATAACATAGCGGTCAGCGGCGTCATAACACGATCCTACACAGTATAATAACATAGCGGTCAGCGGCGTCATAACATGATCCTACACAGTATAATAACATAGCGGTCAGCGGCGTCATAACATGATCCTACACAGTATAATAACATAAAGGTCAGCGGCGTCATAACACAACCCCATATAGTTTACACAATTATACAATTATATTAAATATATAAAACAAACACATGTAATGCTGTAATATCACGTCGCTAATATACTTCACTCTGTTATATACACTGTAGTGTTGTCGGTATCCTGATTTAAAAATAAAATACATTTACATGATTGTAAATTGTGATATAAACAATAAAGCAAAAATTGAGTCATGCAGAATATACGTATGTCTAAATATGAGCAATAGTGAGTCGCTTCATCAGCTTGGTGTGGTAATGTCTTAGACACAACATAAATAATACTTAACTGACCCAAAGACTTCAACGAAAAAAAGAGTCTTCTAATCAGTCATGTGAAATTCCATGAAAAATCAAATGTCATTTTGTTCGCAATTTCCGCTTAAGAAAGTGTGACGACATTTCATTCCTCGCCAAGAAACAAGCCAGGAATGGTAAACAACATCGGAAGTGGAACTCCTGGACAACCACAGAGAAGAAGGGAGACTGGACAGCATACATTATTGGTATATGTGTAAGCTAGCGGGATTGTTTATAAGAATGTCATTTTACATGTATTGACTTTCAATAATGCAGAATTGAAGAACTGCAGAAAAACAATCTTGAATTACAAAAAAAAAAAAAAAAAAAAAAAATTAAAAAAAATTACAAAACGAGTGCAAATGTGATAAAAAATGTCCTCTCACAAGTACAAGACGCTTCGGCTTCATCGACGAAACAGACAATGCCAACGCTGGTATATCTAGGTAAGTAATGTCACGTTCAATACAGAAACTATATACAATAACACGACTGTCCAACACACATGTAACCATTAAACTTCTCCATAGTGAGTATACATCTCTTGAAACGTCTGTGTTGTAGGGTTATCTTTCAGCTGTTGACTGCTTTCATGTGAATTGTGATATTGGCGACAAGCCATAGAAAATGAATTGCAATATCAATGTTGTAGAAGCAGGAACATTAGCTTCTATCAAAGGAAAGGTCATTATCATACCAACAAATTATATTGCTTGATGGAAAGTTAGTTCGGTCGGTAACGATGTAAGTGAATACTGAAGTTAATAAGTATGAAACAAGGACTACGAAACAATTCATATAGACTACAGTGATGTTTGTAACGATCCCGAAAAGGAACAAAAGGAATAATCCGGTCAAACACAGCAAAGGCATTTTACAAAAGACTCTCCAGCAAATAGAACTTTTCACAACAAAAACCAAGAAAATACCAACATGTCAACAAATGAAAGGCTTACAAAATACCCCTGAAAAGTACGGGATGAATAGGACCAGGTTTTCTGAAATACTAAGCGTTTTCTCTTACATAGACGACAACTGTCATGTCAAATGTGCATTAAACACCTCCAACCTAATATCGATAAGGGAATGGAATGCTTCCCAATGAGACAATTAGAATTAGATAGAGCGGAAAAAATACAGATGATTTCTTCTAGTCAGTCATCCTAAAGGCCTAAATTGCCTGAGACGACTGAGGAAAACAGAAAAGAAAATGAATGATTAAACTGTCAACATAATTTTTAAATAAGCTTGTGGGAAGCATCTTGTGTGTAGTGTATGTGTGGACATTTGTTACCACCTCCACTCTAAATAATACAGTCGTTATCTTCCAAAAGGTAGGTACAGTATATATATTTACAAATGTTCTTATCGTATTTGCTTTCATTTTTAATCAGCCACCAGTCACCATCGGTTGAATGCCGGGATACATTTTTTACCGAGACGTTTGCAAAATTGGCAATATGAAAGTATGAAAAAGTATCCATGTATCTGCCTCGTATCATTAGGCCTGATATTCTGCAAATTGTCTCACCAAAACCAATACCAACAACTATGCTTCTTATCACACCACTTTAGACTTGTATTCTGTACGTTATTCGTTGTTTTAGTGAATATCCGTATATAAAAAGATTAAAAAAAAGAAAAAAATAGAAATTGCAAACGGCAAAACAAAAACAACTTGTATATAACACACTTTCTACCTTACCAGGTGGCGGCAATGTCCCAGATCCTGTCGGTACCACTGCAACAGATATAGTTATATCCATATATATGTACTAGAGACATTGTTTTGGTTATCTCCTTTAGATATATGTATGTTATTTTTCTATGAAAATATTTCATTGCTTGAAATCCAAAATGTCACATTAATTATGTATACACCATTAATTCAGTAAGACTGTATCATAGCAATATTGATTTTTTCTTTTGTGAAAATAAACCTTATCGAATTATTTGTTGGTTTTGCAGAGAGCAGATCAAACTGGGCTACGCCAAGACGGAAGTTTGCTTTGACACAGAAAGCAGTGTTTCTATGTGTATTATTGTACATTGACAAATGCTGAAAGATGGAAATTCTCTAGAATGGTAGAGGATGACAAGCTATACAGGAAAGTAGCTGTACGTTAAAAGGACGGCCATTCTGATATTTCTCGTGTAAATCAGCATCTGAACCAAACTGGGCATTGCAGAGAGCAGAAATACTTTGTGTACAAAGGCAATGTCATGCTCATTCAACAATGCCTCCTTAAGGCAGTGGAACATCAGTGTTCGCTTTGGCCGGCGGAGCGTCAAAAAACAGCAGACGATTTCGCTCTTGCCAACCAGCAAAACCTCCTCTGCTGACAGAAAGGCACAAATAAGCAGGACGGTGAGGAACCTCTGACCACCGTACATGAAATGTTAGGTCTTTGCGAGGAGTCTACTGGTCTAATGAAAGCCGCTTTCCACTTTCGCCAGCAGACGGATCTATGTTTGGAGAACAAAACGGTATGTCATCGGAATCACGGACTTGCGATTCATTTCTGGCCACAAAAGCGGAGGTGTTACTATTTGGGGATGATTTTTTTTAAACTGTAAGTTTTGCATGTATGTCCTGGTGGAAATTTAGTTGGTCAGAAGTATCGTGATCAGATCCTTCGACCTTTAGTTGTTGCACATTTACCATCTGCCTAACCTAATGAATGGCAACAAGGATAGATAGAGACACTTCCGTGACCAACGATGTTACCAGACATAAATCCATCTTAGCATGTCTAGGACAATCTCGGAAAAAAGTTAATACATCGGATCCAAAATCGGTGAGTCACGGGCAGCATTTATTCGGAAGTGACAGAGGTTTCCTCAGAACCAGAATCGGAGTTTGATCAATGGTATCAGAAAACGAGCACAAGGATACTTACCAGAAGCGTGGTAGCTATACCCGCTATTTAAATATTTAAGAAATCGTGATTTTTGGAAAATATTTTAATATTGAATCGACTGTGAAATGTAAACATCGTGTGTTGAGGAAACAACATGAATATTGCTATCTAGAAAAAGGGAATCAGCGGTATGTTTATCAGACAGGTTAGTCAAAGATAAAACTGTTGCTTTTGTTGTAGGAAAAGAACGAGTGATATAGTGGAGTATGTTGTATTACACTTGCTTATATATCTTGTATAAAGCCTACATGTAGACTACATAAAGACATATTATTCTGGCTTTATTTTTATCATATAGTAACACACACTTACCGGTAGATCCAACATTGATGCTTGGGCTGCCTCCTGCTGTAACAACACATAGTCGGTCAGATACAAATTCTCAATACAAACACCTTTAAACAAATTTGCACCATCTTCTAGGGCACTTTGCCGAAATGCTAAACACGAATGGTATGACATCCAGAATCCAATATTCTAATAGATGTAAAAATCTTAATGACATTTCTTAAGTTTCTTTTTGTCAAATCGAGGACTAAATTTGTTCATTGATATTATCGGCGTAGTTTAAACCACATGTCATTTTTAATATAACGGACTGATTCACGTTTGCTCTTTTCCCATTGAAAGAGGTTTATTATCAGAAAAAGACATTGTGGTTTATTTGTCGTATTTTAGTAGAGAAAGTGTTAGCCAACGCAGTTGAGTGACCATTATTTTTACATACTGCTAACGTTTATATCTTGTTGTAATGTTTCTGATTCACTATTACTCATATTTGTTGCTTTGATGGACTCTATTTCTCCCAATTATCTTGATTGTGTTCATCAACATTAATGCTAATAGAAAACATATAATTTGCAAAATATCTACTCTTACGGTAATAAGTTCATTACCAATTTTTGTATGAAATCTTACTCACTACATGTTCCACACGTCCGAGGGCACAGCATGTTCTTAATCTTTTTGTCAGAACAGGGGGCGGCGTCATCACCAATAAGATCACGACAGCCGTCTTCATCGTAGTCAAAACACAGAAGGAGTGCTGGCGGGACGATCAGGTCAGTGCCAGAGTCAGCTGTCAAATAGGTAGGCTTGCTTAACACGAGTTTTCAACAGGAGCAGACAAACAGATACTCAGACTTTAAGATATATTCAACGAGAAAAAATACGAAAGAAAAGATCGATCTATACGAAGACATTTAAAATGGAGTATAAGTATAATAACAAGATCCAATGTTCCGGAAATGTCTTGAATTCCAATTAAAAAATATTGTACAGCACCAAATGATGTTCAAAACTTTCCATATCGTCCCAAGACGAATAAAATTAAACCAAATCATACCTCATTATCAAAAATATCGAGGAAAAATCGCAGTTTTTTAAAAATATTATTCAGGGTTCCTGCAATTATTTCCCTGTTCATTCAATCAAGTTATTTGCTATACGTGGTCTATTTGTTGGTTGGGAGGATCTGAGGGGTCTGTAGATTTAGTTAGATTAGGAATAGCAATTACTTTCATGGTTAAGAATCAGACAAAATGATTGTTGTAGGTAATAAACATTTATCCTCAGCACACAAGCTTGTATTAATATTTTCTATTCAACTGACTTGTACTATCATTTCTCTAGGAGATAATAGTTATTAATGGAATTTGTTCTCCTACCTGTTAAGTACTCTTGGTTGTGCTTTTTACACTATGCATACGAGTATGATAAAAATATCCTGTTTATAAAAGTCAGATACACCCTGATATCTCCCCACATATTATTATCTTACTTACTTCCATCACACAGGTCTCGATTGCAGTTTTCTCCTGAACAGCATTTTGCACAGTAAGATGTTGTCAATGGTAGCGAACTGACCCGAGTCTGTCTGGATGATACGTCTTCACCACGTTTACCGACGGCGAGGACAGGCGGGGATCTACATCTCTGAAATCATTGTATTGGTCTGTGATGACATAGATATAGTTTTGTTAATTCAATGCTCATCAAGTTAAAGTGTATTTCCTTAATCCTTCAATATTTTTGAGCTTGAGGGATTTTTTATTTATTTATTTATTCTTTTTGTAGAACATTAAAATCGTTAAATCAATGACAGATGATAATTGATCAATGATAAACCAATATAATTTGTCTTGTTTAAGGAGGAAATTCTTACCGAGATTTGTGCACATCCCAAACGAAATCGTTTTTCTAAATTAACGTTGTATACTTCCTCTGTGTAGCAAATCTGTAAATAATTAAGGAAGTCTAATTACATATAAAACTGTATATATAAAAACCCACTAGAACGCAACATCATACAATACACATTAAATGCCCACCAAATAATATCTAACTACATAATACTATAATAATTCTATAATATTCTATGCAACAATCACTGATGCTGCAAGAGTCCTAAGTATGGAAATCAGGAAAATGAGGTAGGAAAACCGCAATTGACTATTTGAAACGTTTAGAATTAATTTGAGAACTCTTGTGCAAAAGTCAAGTAAGTCTAGATTGAAACCCTAGATACGGGTTGTCACATTTGAATAGAATAACGAGTTTACATTACATAGTAGATATACCCTCAGTACAAATAGGCGTGTACACATGTGAGCAACATCATACGATATAGATTTAGTATGCGCAATATAAGTGATTAAATATTAAAATAATATATTGAATAATATACATAAAGTTCCATAGTGATGTTTTACTACACTAAAGTATGGATATCAGGAAGTTTGAAAGGAAAATGAAAATGTCCATTTAAGAAATAGATTTCAGATTAGTTTAAAACTTTTAGAAACCTATTTCTACATTGATTGATAATTACATTAACAATGATACCTGTTCAGTACCATCTAACACCAATGTCAGGTCAAAGTATGAACATTCACTTATTAACGTTAAAGACTTAAATATCATACACAAGGTACTGTACCTCGTCCACATCACACTGTTTAGACAAATCACAGTCGGTTGGATTTAACACGAATTCACAGGCGAAGCATCTATGTTGAAGTGCTGAAATTAAAACAAAATGTAGAATTATATTTACTTGTCGGCGGAAATCCACGTGTATAATTTTTCTTATTAGGTTGAATTATTCAAACACATTTTGTATTAAAAGACGGGATTGCCATGGTAAGTACAGATTACTTACTGACTTGTCCTGGTAAGTACAGATTACTTATTGACTTACTGACTTGCTGTGGTAAGTATAGATTAAATACTGACTTAGCCTGGTAAGTATAGATTACTCACTGATTTGCTGATCACATGTCTGTATGTTACAGAAGTCTCCAGTACAACACTGGCTACAAAGAGTCCGGTCGTCACGTTTCCCCACACCGCATAACTACAGAATAAATAATCATAAAGAAATTAATAAAATAAAGTTATGTATTTTTTCAACTTAATTCTGAATTGTCATGTAAATTTTCCAATCAAATCATGAATTGATGAAGATATGTCGTTATTGTAATTGTATTGTAATACATATCACCTTATAGCAAATGAACATAATGCTGGAGTCACTTTTCCATTGATTTCACGTTTTGCTTTTCAACCAGTTTTGTACTGGAGCAGAAGATCTATCGTGGTATCTTACTTTCCCATTGAACACGTCTTAATTCATTACTAAAAAATTATTTCTCTTTCAACTTTAATCTTTATGATAAAATCTTTCAAGTTTCCCGTTATTAGTAATAAAACTAAACAACTTCTATTAGATATTATGTTAGACACACATGATCCTCACCATGTCCTACCACAGCGCGTATGAAGGATGCCTTTTTACATTACGTTCACTAATTGTACGATGTTTATCACACACTATACATGTATAACACTTATCATGTGCTGCACATTATATGAGTGATTGTTTCCCCTTTTTATATAGTGTATTATGCAGCTTGTTTGCTACATTTCAGTATGAAAATATCCATTAGTTTTTATTTACATTGGAAATATCTTACATCATGCAAATCACCTTTTCCTATGGAAATTCCAGTATTGTGCAGCTTGTCTGTTTTATTTCAGAATGAACATATACATTTGTTTTTATTTCCATTTGAAACTTTAATTTGATACTTGAGTTCGGATTTCTTTCGTTTTTTTTTTTTTTTTTTTTTGGGGGGGGGGGGGATAACTTGTGTAAGGAATCATCCGTAAGCACTTGGGTTAATAAGCAATCAGTATCTTGTTTTTATTTTCTTTATCCTAAAGTGTTGTGGTATGTCTGTATTTCTATCAACAGGTTTCCTACTTGAATTGACTAAGATGTACACAGCAGGTGTCGTCGATGAAGCAGAAGATGCTTTGCGTACTCTTCTGGAATACCCGGTATCATTCTCTTTCATCGCTAATGAAACCGGGAAACTCCCTTATTTTTTAAAAACCTGTGTGAATTGTGATGAGTATTTCTAAACATTCGATATGATATGCACTCTTTACCATGTAAAACTAAAACGCAAACAAAAATAAATGGCTTTGTATTCTGAAGTACATTGTATCGCTAGAAAGAATATTATTCTAGTTATCAGATGTTAATTGTACTCACCCCGGTATCCTTACACCCGGACCTGAAGAATACGATCGAGTCTGTGGTGACATACTTCATTCCATAACAACTCTACAACAGGCAAATACAGTTAGGAAACATCATTATGTGTGTTCTATGTTATTTTAGCTTGCGAAAGCCTCCCCACAAGTTCAATGGCATTTTATAAAGTATTTTCATTGTCTTTATTAAAGATCGTCAAAATATTGTGTAACAAATAATCTGAGAAGACACAAGAAATAAATTTCAGAAGAAAACCTCTTATAAACGAAGATATATATCATTTTGATAAGATGCATGACATTGTACTGTTGTGTACAGCTGACTGGTTATTATTTTGATATATTAAAGATGCATGACATTGTACTGTTGTGTACAGCTGACTACTTATTAGTTTGATATATTAAAGATGCATGACATTGCACTGTTGTGTACAGCTGACTACTTATTATTTTGTATTTGTTTAAATCTGTCTCAATATGATTCTGACTTTAAATATGCCTACTGCAGAAAATTCAAATTGGCCAAAATCAATTGTCAAAATATCGGTGACAATTGTAGAAGAATATGAAACCATGACAACAACAGACAAGTCTGTAGGTTTATTTTATTATGACCTGTCCACCAGAAATATTTTAATTCAGTACATACGGTGTTATGTGACTAGAATTACTGAAATGTTTCCACGATATAATATTTACTGATTTAAGGATATCATTCAGTGTTGTATGAAGACCTGTTTACCTCATGACTTCCACAGCGTACGACCTTTCCACAGTCTCTCTGGTGTGGCATGTGATCACATTCGTAACACAACGGACCAAGTGCTGTTGACATAGGAAATGGAAATCACTCTTTGTTGTGTACAAAGTATATAATAAAATCATATAAATGTATCAGATTAAAGATCACGTGATCATATTCGTAAAACAGACCAATCATTACATGTGGAATTACTTATAAGACAAATAAAATTGTAATAACATTAGTAAGCAACCGAATTCATGATCATATCAGGAGTAACAATTTGAAAATGAACAAACAGGACAAGATGCTTTCAATTTGAGTAAGCTAAATCCATAACATTATAAATGTAAATATAAATGAGACTATTTTCGCTTACTTCAGTTTTACTCTAGCATAGATCTTAATCATAATGCAGTAACGGTGCCAGTCCTAGTGTGATATACATGATACAAAGAGGCAAACTATAGAATATTTAACCCTTTTTTATGTAACAGTCTTGTATATAATTCGTAAATGATGTGATGAATATCCAGAATATTTTAATGAAATATGATGGTATTTAAAATTTTGTAGTAAATACTTTAAATAATACCTATTCACATATGTTCAATAGTTTTATAAAATAATAAAGCAAAACAAGAATGATGAAATGTTAAAGCAGATATACCTCTACAAGTATTTAAATGTTTACGTCGATAGACAGTAATTACACAAAGGAGATAGCAGTAAATGCCTATTAACTAACTTGAAGTGTAAACACAACAACATCACATTGTTTGTCTATGTGTACGTACCAGCATTGACGGTATAGACATATATAACAAGGAACCAAACAACCAGCATTCGACCTGTAAATTAGAGACAAAAGATGTAGTGTTTCTAGACCTTCGTCATCCGGGTTATTTGTTACTGGGTATAATGCCCGATAACTTTGACGTATTATTTATGTAATCAGTTCTCAGTAATCTTGTCATTATAATAACTACATTCTACTTACTATATTTTATTTGCTATATATTCTAGTCTCACGTATGTTTTCTACCCCATCGAACAGAATTATCCACACTTCCGGTGAGGGTATGATATCTCTATCTCGCCGGGGTAAGACAGCCTGCATTCACAGAACATAAACACGTGTTAAACCGGAAATTGTGAATTCGAGACGTGACTGGTTGATACTGGCATTTTAAGATAAGATTAATATTATTGTAAGACAGAACTAATCATCTTTGATTTCTAGTTGTATAACAACAAGTTATCATTACGATTGTCTATGCATAATTTAGATTGCAAAAACGTTAAAATAAAATAAAAGTCGTTATTTGCCCGATTGTCGTCCTAAATAGGTAAGCATATCAAAAGACAAATCTATTTGTTTCGATATTCATATATTTCTAGAATGGTGGACATAAGGGTTGAAAGAGGACTTTTCTCTATTGAGGGGGTTGGACAAAGAAATCTCTACCCTCAGGGAAGATTCCCAACCGTCTAACTCTCGGCAAGCTCTTTTTCGCCTTATTACCTCGTGCTTTTCTCTCTCAAGATTATGTTATAATGTTCACCTCATTCTTAAATTCGCCCTCCTGCTTCAAGGACGAAAAGGGCCAAAGCTTCTCCGGAACTCAGTAATAGGAAACATATAGTACCATTTAAAATGTGAAAAAAATATTGTGTATCATATATTTGTATATTTTTTATCAAACACCACAATTAACTGAATACGATTGTGAAAGAGAAGCAGAAAAGAAACAAAAGTTAATCAGAAAAATATCACAAACGACCAATTACACCCTGAAAATATATTTCAAATGAAGAAGGTTACCTTACTGGTTTTCACGCTAGCTGATGTATATAGTTATGAATAAAGTATGTTTACTAAAAAAACATATATCATTGTTTACCTCACTGACTGATGTATTGGTGATAATCCTTGAAATTAACGAAAATAAAACACCAAGAATAAAAATAGTTTAGAACTATCAGATATCTTTATCAATGTCAGTCATAACGAGGTATCATTGCCTCTAACTTCATTCATGTATCAGCTACAAAGAACTCCAAACTGGAAACACAACTGTACACACGCGAGCACAAACATGTTATCATTAAAAAAGGGCGCTTGAGGAGAACATGCAACTTTTTATAGTACCTGAATACTTCGTTGTTTCTTCTCCAAGACACGCCATATTGGCTTAAAACGACTGTCGTTATCGACGAAAAGGTCAAAGGTCATTCTTATCTATTTCTGATTATGGAGATGATTAGACCCTGATATATCAGCGTCACGAATTCTAAACAAACCGTTATGACGTCATTCAAACATATAGGTCACTGGTTATCACAACCATATTTTTTCGACATACATTTACATTGTGTTTATGTATTTCCCTCAGTAATGACACAGTATGGTCAAAACACGCTAAGATAAACAGAATAGTCAGCGTTCAGCAGTGATCGTGGAGATAATGAATATTAATATCAACATTTCAACCTCCCGGAACATTCTGTAGGGTTAATGAGTGTCCGTATTTTGGGGGGAAATGACATATAAAAATGAGCCTTCACTGATCAAACACCGTAATGTAGAAAACGTGAGAAACACTATAATACTGCTTGGCACTGCTTTGTAGGACATTTGTTAAGTCCTGGATACAATAACATTAACATTACGGCTTTATTCACTCCTCAAATCAGACGTTGTCATAGCCACGGACTTACAATGAAGCTAGCGGATATACTATCACGTTAAAAATGGATACTTTACAGACACTATCAGGTGTTCATCACTACGTTATATTTGCGTCCTCCATGTGTTACGAAAACCTTAAGTGGATGCAGTAAATGCAGTTCCTGGTGCTTCAGTAGAAACTAGACATCATAAAATAATGAATGATTTGACACAAGTCAGGTTTTAAAACCTCAGCTGTCCATAAACATGGCCGCGATCCTCTAACGTCTCACCAACGTATGAAAGTGGAGTTTGCAAGTAAGGGAATGTTATTAACATCAGAAATATTTTATAGCAGAAGTTTGTTGCAGGTTAAAATTCCACTATCTCGCAAAGCAGAAATACCGTATATCCCGTCATTTATTCTTAAATGAATTGGCAAATTAAAATCCAAAACACGGGTCAGCTTTCCTCGATCCTGATGTTAAATCCATACTTCAAAATTTACATGAGAGGTATGTTATTGTGCCTGCAGATAAGGCGTTCAATAACTTTATATTCCCCAGTTACATTGTTATATTTTCTGTATGGGCTTGATTCCTGACGAATGAAACCCCACCTATACAATATGAAGTCATTCCGGTGTGATTTTATTATGTCAGCTCAGGAAAAACCTCCAAAAGGCTCTTGATCAGTCTTCCACACCCTATTCTATACACCAGTGTTTCTATAAGACCATATGACTTCTCTACTCTGTGCACTAAGATATCCTATTCTAAACTAAACGAACGTATTCATTCCTTTGTTATAAGAGGTTTTTTTCCAAGAAAGGTGAACTGAGGTCAAGTATATGATTATGAACTAAGTACATCGGAGCGTACGTCATGGAAATGTCGAGTTTAGTGATAGCATTTCTTATGGTATACCTATAGGAATTAAAGGCGCCCTCTGTTGGTTGACATGCTTTTGTTTTCCTACGAGGCTAAATTTACCAGAGAACTTATCAAAACAGGTCACAAAGTCGTAACAAAGTTGTTCCTTTTGTTTTTAGATATAATGATGACGTCTCGTCATTAAATAACATGTATCGTATATACCGCCCAGAATAGGGGCTCAAGAACACGACAGATCCTTCTATAACAGCCGCTTATCTCGAGCTTTTCCTACAACCAAACCAACACGGACAGCTTTCCATAAAGTTGTTTGATAAGCGTGATTAATTCAAATTTGTTGTGAATTTTCGAATCTTACAAATCTATGGTGTTTACATGTCGCAGCTGATTCGATATTCAACAGTATATTCCCATTATAATGATTTTCGTGCATGAAAATCGCCAACAGAAGGCCAAACTTATAACACATGTTGAAAACTATAAGGAAGATTTAAAGTCGTCCTAGTGATATAATGTAGAAATATACCATTTGTGTGTGTTCTATGAAGCTAGACGTGTTCGATGCTCGTTAGTTTGCCTATTGGTTTTTTCGTATACCTTGTTATCATTGGATCACGTGATATTACGTAATAGATTGACCTAGATTTACAAGGCGTGTGTCGTCGATGAAAATCTATTTTTTTTGTTCATATTTGCCCTAGTTTTATCGAACTTGATTATGGTTTATGACAATGTTCACATGTCTGAATTTTCCTGTATTTTTTTCAAGTTATCAGTTTGTTTATTATATCTTTTTCATTGATTTCGATCAACAATGCTCCTACGCGATATGTACCCTTAAACCAGACCTTACATATTAAAGACTTGCCATACATTATAAAAAAAGAAAATTAATGTATAGATGTGCAGTGTATGTTTTGAGCGTGTGTATTTAAGGTTTTATCAGACAGTTAAGGACTCAACTCTACAGCTTTATATGCCCATCATATTTACAAGCCCGTATGTTATCCTTTGAACGCGCTTCAATACCATCACATGTTAAAAACAGTGAAAGTGATGTCAAGTGATGAAATAAGATATTTCTGACCGTTTCCATTAGTATCATGTGTGGATTCGTTGTTGCTAACATTGTTCTCACTTGAGAACCTGACATTACTTACTTGGAATTACATTGCAGATGTTGGCGTTGAAATAGATCCTTACTAAACACCTGATCTGAAATTCCTTGTTTCAAGGCTCGCCGTGTAAATATTTTGTTCTGAAGATTTGCTGTTTGTTGTTAAATCATTCAAACGAACGCAGTTGACGTAAAGAAATCAAAGACATTTTATTGTGAAAACGTAGAGTTCTGACAAAGGGACAATGACGTAGTCTGTACCACTCATTAACTTTGATCAAAATAGATGCTAGGTATTCGCAAATTTAGTATTTGAACAATCGATAGCCAGACAGGATCCTGAACAGTAGTCAGCACACAGGGGTCTTAGTACAGGGTTAGCACACAGACCTATACCACAATCAATCACCTGGCACCGTTGTAGTTCAAATTTTGGCGGACACTGTCCGGTAGGAGTCACTGTTGTACTTGGTTTGACGGTCGTGATCGCTTAGCACACAGAAAAAAAATGTATGAACAACTTTCTCAATCAAACTCACAATGAATAATGGAAGAAAACATAAATAATCATTACATTTCATTGTAATGGCTGATCAAGTTACTACCGTTGTATTTTTGTTCTGTTTGTATACAATGTTATAAAAATGTACTGAATACGTGAATGACTATTCCCACATCTTTTTCTATAGAATCCAAACATATTACTGATATTGGACTTACCCGGGATTCCAGCGCCACCTGCTGTATACATAGAAGGTGACATTAGATAGACATGTCATAACTAACCAACATCGAAAACATACCGAACACGAGATTTAGATGTAAGTTTTGGATATTTCAAAAAAATAAGTTTAATGGGGTTTTGTCATAGATATAGATAAAAAATAAGATTCAAATATTCTGCAGTTACGTCAGGTATTCTTTAATATAGCTTTAGCTTTTTAAATTTTGTCAATAGATTAGAACATGACTTTTACATTTGATTGTAAGCCCCACAACACTGAGTGAAAAACCGGAAGAAACAAGTACGGGTAAAACATCAACTGTCAACAAAACCCCAACTCTACTCTCTAAAGATATACCAAGTGTTTTTGTGCGTTTCAAACTTACAACAGACACCACAGCTCCTGGGACACATGAGGTAGCGAACCGTCCGATCATTACACGCTAATGGATCAGAAGCTTTTAGACTTGCGCATTGGGAACTGTCATAGTCAAAACAGTTCTGTAGAGGAGGCGGAAACAGCAGATCGTACCCAACGGCGTCTGTTGATACAACAATCAAATATACATTGTAAACGTCTATCAAATACTACATGTCGAGTGAAAATGAAACGTATTAATCAATTTACTCCATTAATTGTCCACAATCTGTAATTATAAAATGATGATAGCCTACTTTTTTTTATTCCATCACTTTATGCCGTTAATACAAAAACCTGTCGAACCTCTCCGACATAAATCCCTGTTACAGTTCCTCCCAGTATCACAACACTGCCCACAGTATGACGAAGTCGCCCGTGATTGGCTTTTACTCGTCACGTAACGCCGACCTACTTGTAAAGTATTGAGGTATCCACAGCTCTGAAAAAGATTATTCATTTATTCAACATTGAACATTTGGTATTTATATAGCCTATGAATGCCGAACAGAAGAAGTTTAATACTATTATCATTTTCATCTTCATTTTGTAATAAAGAGAGAAAATAAAGAGAGAAATCCATTTCTATAGCCAATATGATTGCTGTGTAGTTGTCAGTTCATGAGCTGATATTGCAGGAAAATATTTTTATTTCAATATATATCTAAATACGATATGGATACTGAAAGATTCGATAAAGATTTTTAGTTGGGACACAGTAGTGTATATTACGCTATATGTTATATATAGAATGTTATATGCTTTGATTAGTGTCTTTTCCCTCCTTCAGTTTTTGCATATTTTGATATACTAACGACTTATGATTACTATCCCTGACCTTTCTATTCCAGACCCTTGTTTCCGTACGTACCGATTTCGGTGCACAGCCTAGACGATATCTCTTTTCTTTGTTAACATTATAAATTTCTTCTGTATAACACATCTACAATAGAACAGAAATATCAAACACAATCCGAGTTCATGAATATGTATGTTTTGATTATATACTTATTAGGAAATTCAAATATCAAACAATGTCTTAAAACATTTACACAATAACTTATACAGGTATCCGTATCGTTTACAGAAAATAGTCACGTGGTACAATATGTCATCAAGGATTTCGTCGTTACAATATCGACATATTTTTTTGAAATTCTGTGATGTGTTATTAAATGATTGTAAAGGAATCTAGCCCCAAACTGTCCGGGTTTGTTTCATGCCAAACTTTATAAATGCCTCATCATCAAAATACTGCAGTAAAAAAAAATTAAAATCTAAAACAGACCAGATTTCCATATTGCTCGGTAAAATGTTTTATCGGGGTACGGTTTAACGTACATAGCAGTACACCATCATCATCTATATCATACCTGGTCGCCATCGCATTGTATGTCACGTGTACACATTACCGGATCTATGACGTCATCACAAGCGAGGCACCGTTTACCCAACTCTGAAACAATTACAGAAATATCGTCATAAGTCTTTATTCACAATATCACCGGACAATTACATCATACAATAGCTATCTATCTTAAGCACTTCTTTGATGTTTATTGAATCATAAATGGACAAAATAAATGATATTACTTAACCAAAGAAAGAACAATGGTGGTCACGTTTAATGACGTACAAATGTGTTCAAATAACAGCGAATGATGATGTTTTGCAATGACTACCATAACAATCACCCAAAACTCACTCTATATAAACATTTATGTCTCACTGTATGAAACCTTCACTAAAAATAGATGTATTTGAGACATCCTCATTTTTCTTCATATAAAAGCTGTTGAAATTCACATTTTGTAAAGATGCCTTCATTTACGATCGTTGACGAACCGAAGACGGGAAGACGTTTCCGTGAGAGGTCCATATTTACTGTAAACACATATACTACACAGCGACCACGCGAATGACGTTAACCTGTATTTTACCTGTGACATTACAAAAGCGCGCGGCACGTTCGACATCGCACTTCACCGAGTCTACAGCTTGATCGCGGGATTCGCTTTTGGCGGCCTTCTGAACTTATAACGTATGAACATATAACATCGGTTTGAAATGCCGGACTAACTTTATTTATTCTTATAACCCCGCGAAGTTTATTTACTCAAATGTTATTTTTTCATATAATGATCATCACACAGTTTTTGTCAGACACTTTCTGAATCACGTAAATTTGCGTATACCAGGGCATTTATTAAAGCAGACGTCAATGCGATCAACTTTAAGCTCCGTATTTCTATCGTGGAAAGACTAGACAAGAATAAAGACTTTACGGTAACTTAAATAATATAACATATTGGCAAAAGCTTTAATCAGATTTATTGTCAACGATTTACACAGAGATTCAGGAAAAAGCAAATTATGTGTTACAATGTTAATTGACAACCATCATATATAAAGTATGAAGTGACAGATACTCTAATAAGACGTAGCATGAATCGTTTGGTATAGAAGCCACTATATATTCACACATATAGATAAAGTGTTTTTACATGTTTGTATTTACTGATATTTACTTTGAACTTTCACGTTCAGGGTGTACTGTAAATCACTTAGATATCGAGAACTTACCTCTTCAGACATATTCGCGAATACATGATTTCACGAACGCTGTCCTAGAAATTATACAAAATTCGCGAATAATGAGCTATTAGATATAAGGATTCTACCGTTATCGGTAACGGAACTAACATGGATGTCATTCAGAATTACTTTTGTGCGAATATTCGCTAGGAATTCGTGATTGTCTCTCCTCGCGTCTTAATGCGTCTAGATTTGTCTAGATTTGTAATATCCCTGTATTGCACATAACGACTTTTACAAAAATAGCAGCAAAACTCCACAAAATACGCATTTTCTGTCCTTATGAATTAATGAATATAAGATATTATCACATTTTTCTCTATTTTCCATCTCAATTTCAAAGCTGTTTGTCCCTAACAGTCGTTGAAGGTTGTTATTTTTGAAGGAATGAAATTGGTATTTTGAAAATAAATACCATTGGAGAAATACATAGTCCATTTCATGACTCCGAGCACATCCGAGTTCTGATATAAGAAGCAAAAATACAGATACAAACTACCCGAACAACACCGACAGTATATGGGGAGACAAAAATGTGTACAATGTTTCTTAGAACACATGAATTTCTAAGGTATAATTGTTAAGTGTGGGCGTACTTTCAAAAATATGTTTTCTAATCTTGTAGATATAATGAAATACAAACACTAAACTTTTCTGTACTTACATATAGATAACTCCCTTAAAGCTTTCTTTACTTACATATAGGTAACTCACCTAAAGCTTTCTTTACTTACATATAGGTAACTCACCTAAAGCTTTCTTTACTTACATATAGGTAACTCACCTAAAACTTTCTTTACTTACATATAGGTAACTCACCTAAAGCTTTCTTTAGGTTACATATAGGTAACTCACCTACAACACGACTTACACAGAGTTATATCGGATTTCTTCTTTTTACCAGAGCAATGCTGTAACAAAATATGTAAAATTCTGATAGTATTGACAAAAATCTGATTTCAAATAAAATAGAGGTAGGAATAAAAACATTGAATTATCAATAAACATTGGATGTTTAGATTTAAATACTTACAGCTGTACATCCTGATCGAAACACCTGAATTGCACCGGAAACGAGGTAATGTTCACCATAGCAACTCTGAAAGTGGAGATAATAGATTTTGTATTTCTATTTAAGTTGATTTCAGTTGTATATACAGTTTTACTGCAGTTTAAGCTATATAATTACCATTTATATTTTCATTTTGTCTCTCCCCGTGAGAAGAACATTATTTGTTTGTACGTGTTAAATAAGGATTGCTTAACATGTTTAAATTAAATACTAATGTGTTTTTGAGGACATACTGCAATGTTTATATCACGTGACAAGCAATTGCTATTTGACAGGTATTTCGTGTGACTGTTATTTCGATATTCATTATTCAACTTACGAAATAAGTTATAAAAAAGGGACAGTGCATGATAAAAGTTACAATGAGTAAACTAGTAAAATTATCACACAGAATTTGAGTAAACTATTACATGGCGTGATAATGTATTTTGATCTTAACCAATAAACCATATTGACAAATAGAGCTTTAAATGAAATGGAGTACCTCACAGATAAATCTTACTGTTGATATAATTGCAGTAGTCCTCTCTGTGGTTTTATAAACTATCAGCACTTCTGAAGTATGGTAAAAAAACAGCTGTTTGATGGAGTTTTATCTACAATTTGGGATACACTGTATATCCTATCAATAGTCGTTTATTGTATTATGTACCTATTGAACATTATTGCAATCTTACCTCATTTGGTCCGCACTGGACGATTGTGTTACAATCACGTTGCTTAGGAAGCCTGTCACAGTTATAACAGAGAGGGCCGTCTGTACAACAAAGAATGGAATCTATCTGATGACGTCACAGTTCTAACAGAGAGGTCCGTCTGTACAACAAAGAATGAAATCTATCTGATGACGTCATAGTTATAACAGAGAGGTCCGTCTGTACAACAAAGAATGAAATCTATCTGATGACGTCATAGTTATAACAGAGAGGTCCGTCTGTACAACAAAGAATTAAATCTATCTGATGACGTCACAGTTAAACAGAGAGGTCCGTCTGTACAACAAAGAATGAAATCTATCTGATGACGTCATAGTTATAACAGAGAGGTCCGTCTGTACAACAAAGAATTAAATCTATCTGATGACGTCATAGTTATAACAGAGAGGTCCGTCTGTATAACAAAGAATTAAATCTATCTGATGACGTCACAGTTAAACAGAGTGGTCCGTCTGTACAACAACGAATGAAATCGAATTATCTGATGACGTCATAGTTATAACAGAGTGGTCCGTCTGTACAACAAAGATTGGAATCTATCTGATGACGTCATAGTTATAACAGAGTGGTCCGTCTGTACAACAAAGAATGGAATCTATCTGATGACGTCATAGTTATAACAGAGTGGCCCGTCTGTACAACAGATAATGAAGTTTTAACTATATGATGACGTCACAGCTATAACAGAGAGGTCCGTCTGTACATTAGAGAATGAAATTTAACTATCTGATGACGTCTCAGCTATAACCGAGAGGACGGTCTGTACAAGAGAGAATGAAATCTAATTACCTGATGACGTCAAAGTTATAACAGACAGGTCTGTCTATACCACAGAGAATGAAATCTAACTATCTGATGACGTCACAACTATAACAGAGAGGGCCGTCTGTACAACAACAAATGAAATCTAACTATCTGATGACGTCACAGTTAAACAGAGAGGTTTGTCTGTACAACAGAGAATGAAATCTATCTATCTGTGACGTCACAGTTAAACAGGGAGGGCCGTCTGTACAACAGAGAATGAAATCTATCTATCTGTGACGTCACAGTTAAACAGAGAGGGCCGTCTGTACAACAGAGACTGAAATCTATCTATCTGTGACGTCATAGTTAAACAGAGAGGTCCGTCTGTACAACAGAGAATGAAATCTTACTATTTGATGACGTCACAGTTCTATCACATAATCACCAGAGTGATAACACCCATTTGTATAATATTGACAGTGTACTTTATATGTACAACGGATAATATTGTAGTTTTCTGTTCGCCCGTTTCGCTCTTTTGCGAATAAGGTGGAAATATAAGATGAATTTAAAGTTTCATTTTCAAGAAGAAATGTATTTTTCTATGTATTGAAAAATAAATTGAACACTGAGCAAAAAGGAACAGTTTTGATACAAGAGCGAAACTAATCGCTGAAGTATACGTTATCTATCTCAGAGAAAATTAAATACCGAGTACGTATGTCATTGTTACGGAATGATGTACAGTATTAATCATTGTGGTGAAATACAGCGTTCAATTACAGCACGACTGGACTTTAATACTCACTTTGTGCAGCAACAATTAATATACTCGCCCATCCTGTGAGAGATAAAAGCTTGTTAATTAGAAGTCCATACAGCGAAGTCAGTTCTTAGTATTAAAGTTAAACTTTGACATGTCGGAGTCAACATCCACATATATATAGATTCTCTGTAAAGACTTTCGCATCGCCTCTTCAGTACTTAAAGGGTTAGTTTCACTCTTTGCATCGCTAGAACATTTCTTGGCAAAATTGAAAGCACAAGCGAAATTATTTCATTGGTCTAAATGGGGTTTCAGGAGAAAAAACAGACTGCTACGCTCCTTTGAAGAGAGAAAAAAGGAAAGCGACATCCACCTTCATAGCCACTACAACATATCGTTAAGCGACCTCGGGATTGATTTCATGTACATTAAAGGATCTAACTAATATACTCATTTTATCCACAAGGAGCCGCACATACAACCAAGGGCGCAGAGGGAAAGTGATCGTAACTCCTGGAGTATTGAGGATGTTCATACAGCTGTTCCGTGGTTCATACTTATTCTGTATGTTTCAGTTCATCAACACACAGGGAGCAGAGGGAATTATTGTAAAATATATTAATTCTATATCAAAATACAGACATAGCTACCTTGGATGTAAGTTATAACGCTGATTTCCATGAAGACTGGCCTAACAGGAAGTAGCTGACACACGTATGTACTATATACCGATACATAATGGTAAGTCTTATCAGCAGGTCGAAACGAAGGCAGCGACAAAACAGCGTGGATATACAGGACACAGGTCCTTTACACAGGTGCTTGTGGATATAAATGTGACAGAGATTTATTTTTATAAAATATGCTAAGTTAGTGGAGACTGTATTTTAAACGTCCAGATGTTAAATTTCAAAAGCGCAAAAAATAACAAGTCATGTAGTATCCTAAATTTACCACGTGATTTGTAGATTTGTTATTCTCTATAACATACCTTATTTGATAAAACAAATCACATTCATTTCAAATCCCACGTGGTCCTGAACGGACAAAACAGCTGCGTGACGTTTACCTCATTATCTGATAATTAAGTGTACTGTATGGATTTTGAAATCTGTATTGAAAGGTGTTATTCGCGTTAACAATTCACTTCTATTATGTATTTCAGAATCATATTATTCTTGAATTTTAATCTATCCATATTGAGATTAGGATGATGTGTGGTATAGCCTGAACCGGTTTCTGCCTTCCGATGAACAGGCCAGTGTCAAGGTTGTATTAACAATCATAACGGCAAAATTCCCAGTGTTTTTGGTGTTGATAACGTTTAGAAAAATAGTGGTAGAGTTCACAATATACACAGGTATTTGACGTTCTTCTAAAATTATCAGATATATGTACAATGTTAGTGAAAATTACGGAATCAATTAAACTATTGGGATAGTGCACCTATCTAGATTGTGACATTTCTTTCAATCTAATTTGGCTGCTCTCAGTCGCCTCATAGGCTTCAGAATTTAGGCCCTTAGCATCACTGTCGAGTCCTGGGAAGACTAAACCTCAGAATGATTCAGATTAAACTGTATTTGTTACTTCCATACACTGTATCTTAGTTGGAAGGGGTTACTGACTCGTGTGCTTTTCACCAGTCATTGAAGTGATTCTATACCCGAATTAGTTTACCGGTATTTGACTGAATTCTGCTTGAAAAGGCGTTTTACTACATCATCCATCTTTGTTGTCTGTTACTATGATTTTGATCGGCTATTGGAGTTACGTAATGCTTTGTTTACGGAGAGAGTCTGTTAAAGACGTATCCCTGGTATTAAAGCGTCCCAAGTTGCAGTAAAGACAAAAAAGTACCTTGTTTCTGTCTCACGTTGATGAGGAAACATGTCATACAAAAAGAAATGTAGAACAATGACGCTTTCTATTGCCAGGAGAGGCATAACGAGTAAATTCAGTGATTTGTTTTATTCGACTCCAAAGGAGGGCACTAATCGTATGAAAGTTTTTTTCCCATTTTTTGTCAAACAGTAAAGCGTCTTTCTTTTGCATGAAATCTTTCCATCATTTTGGAAATATATATTACGAAGGTAGTAAACATGACAAAGTTTCTGGTTTACAACTTATATACTTGCATATCGCTTTCTGGATTTAATGGTCATAGAGGGATATTAGGGTTACCAAAGATTTCATTAAAACAATCCCGGTTCTTATTTTGACTACGTGACATTACCTAGATATTACTTCGGTTTTCCATGAGAGAAGCATTCAGTTAAAACAATCTTTACTTTTAAAAGCTGGTCACACTTTCCTTGTACATTTGTTTGAGATAAGATAATAATTTTTATAAAAAAAACTGTACGGTCACTTCACTCGAGAATATTGCTATTTTGTGATACTCGTGAAATACAACAGATATTGAAAGATATTAATGTAGTGTTATGTCAGTAAGGAAACCTTAGCAAAACTTATAAATACTGACGAATTATTTCAAAGTTCAGGATCCGTCGTAACCATCTAAGCCACGTCTTTATTCTCAGTGGAACCATATTAAAATACAGGTTATGTTGTTTCAGTCATTTCCTCACTAAAAAGGGTTGCTCATCTCTGGTTTAATTACAATAATGTTTAGCTGTATATTCCATAAGACAGTACACTTCATTCCTAAGGTGGGCTGACATCCTGAAGATGTCATCAACTCAGAGCAGAAATAACTTGAAATATTCGAGTAGTTGTATCTAATTTCTGTCAGAATGGCGCCAGAAGGACACTCTTTTGAAACAAGCTATGTAGTATTTGAAGAGCTAGTCAATGTGTAGTAAAATGCAACATTTTTACAGTCTTTATTATTCTTTTCCTATCATACTCACTTCGCCATATTTCTTGTCTGCCGAAAGGCCGTAATAGCGGACATTAAGCCCGTTAAATTAAAACAGAAAAATCCTACCATTCCTCTATGTTCGATTATAATAAATATATAGAAGTTTCCCTTTTAGTTCATTGACCACACAATTAAAATTGATTTTTTTTTCTTTTGCAACCAATACTTTCTGGACAAAATCCGTCAGTGACGTCATTTCGATTGTAAATTTTGTAACGTTAAGGATGATTCGTCGTCAATGAAATGGGGTACGATGAAAGAAAATAGACATGAACAACAGATCCAGTCATGTAATAATATTCATTTTAATAGCTAAGATTACTTTTCACAACATCAAGAGCACTTTACAATACTTAGAGAAAATCACATACTTTAACAGCAGAATACGAAACTACTGATAATAAATTAACACTAGTTTGTAAATATTTTTATATACTGTAATACTTTGATAGGGTTGATGAAAGGGGAAGTCCTGAAAACTTTGTCACATCCTCTCGCCGTTTCCAAGCCTACAGCCAAGGAACAACGCTTAGAATGGAGGTGTCTAAAGGTCACAGGACATCCTCTTTCTATTTTTTGCCAAAAAATCATATTGAAATAGAACTTCTCTGAGGCCAAAAGTCACGTTTTCTCCCTCTCATTCACATACCTCAGTCTCTCTCTCCCCTCTATCTCTCTCTCTCTCTCTCTCTCTCTCTCTCTCTCTCTCTCTCTCTCTCTCTCTCTCTCTCTCTCTCTCTCTCTCTCTCTCTCACACACACACACACACACACACACACACACACACACACACACACACACACACACACACACACACACACACAAAACAACACAGACTAATTAAATAAATGTTCAAACAAAACTCTGAAGAAAGATCTCCAAGAAAGTTTGAATGCAGGCATTATTACAATATATCTGATATCAGGTAAGCGTTGAGAAAATCATAGAAATGTAGAAAAAGCCGTCATATGTGTTTATGATAGTTCTTGTGATCTTCTGAAAAAACTTCTGGTCACAAGGATTTTTTTATTTCAAAACTGACTTCAAAGTACTGTGAAATCAGAATTTTTGTGGAGTTTTTGTTTCCCAGCATTTTGTGGGTAATCTGACAAAATCATATGTCCACTAAATGATAAACAGACAACTGGTCAAATGAAACTAACCGATTATTCACCTTACGTCTGTATTGGGTTATTAGGTCTTACATCTGTATTGGGTTATTAGGTCTTACATCTGTATTGGGTTATTAGGTCTTACGTCTGTATTGGGTTATCAGGTCTTACGTCTGTATTGGGTTATTAGGTCTTACATCTGTATTGGGTTATTAGGTCTTACATCTGTATTGGGTTATTAGGTCTTACATCTGTATTGGGTTATTAGGTCTTACATCTGTATTGGGTTATTAGGTCTTACATCTGTATTGGGTTATTAGGTCTTACATCTGTATTGGGTTATTAGGTCTTACGTCTGTATTGGGTTATTAGGTCTTACGTCTGTATTGGGTTATTAGGTCTTACGTCTGTATTGGGTTATTAGGTCTTACGTCTGTATTGGGTTATTAGGTCTGTATTGGGTTATTAGGTCTTACGTCTGTATTGGGTTATTGGGTCTTACATCTGTATTGGGTTATTGGGTCTTACATCTGTATTGGGTTATTAGGTCTTACATCTGTATTGGGTTATTAGGTCTTATGTCTGTATTGGGTTATTAGGTCTTACGTCTGTATTGGGTTATTAGGTCTTACATCTGTATTGCGTTAAGCTTAATGACCGCACCAAACTATCAAAAATAGCATTCATGATAACTTTTATTGCACAAAGTTATACCAGAAGCATCTGGTATATAGGATAATGTAATGAAAACATGGGAATTTATCTCCCCTGTTTGGAACTCTAGACTGTTGTGATGTGACATATGGCACAAAACCTGTCTCTTGCATTTTAACTATTGAATTCTATAGACACAAGGGGGTGTACAGTACATGAAGTACCCCCTACCTCTGGATCAAGAATTAAGAAGCTATTGTTATCATGTGACTATTTCAATCTGTTTGGGGGTTCAGATGGGTAATAATATTGAAAATAATGAAATCAGTTCTGTAACAGCCTAGTCTGTAGAACATAAAACTTGTTGATTGTAAGCAGAGGTCCAGGGTTAGATCCCTGATGAAGACATGAGAAAGACATGGACAAATTCTTGTATCTCATTAAATGCGGCAGATAGGCAAGATCTAGACACAATCAACGTGAGACAAGTATGTGTAATTCTCAGTGGCTTGTACCCTTGAGCATTACTACCTGAATTAACTAAGTATTTTAAACATATTCTGTATTCCTGGTGTCCATGTGATCATTCTGTTGTTATTATTATTTCATGTAACAGCATCTCTTCAGCCAGATTTTAAATTAATTAACAAAGTTTTCATATCAGGAAATATTCAGCTGGATTTATCCTGTAATAAACTAAGAAATTTAATACATCATTTAAGTGCTTTTCCAGTAAAACATCTATCCCTCCTGAGGATTTCAGGTTTTGTTAAAGTTATTTCAGAAAAAACTTTAGTTCAAGTTTTATGTAAAATGTACCACTTGTAGAATTCAGTTCATTATTTGCTAAGAAGAAATACGCAAGAAACCAAATAGATGTTGTATTGGAAAACCTCTAATGCAAATTAGGTGGGTATGGTTATTAAAAAACAATATGGTACTATTTATGTGCCTACAGGTGGGTTTGTAACCAGACACAGGATTAAACCTAAACAGATATCTGTGATTGAGTAACATACATGTCTCCTCTACATACTGTATGTTTTCTTACTCCTGAAACATTTTATGTCACATTGAGGTTTAATAACAGGTCCTTGAATTATTTTTCTCCAGGCTGGCCAGGAAGCATACTAATAACCTCCATCATTAACAGATAAATGTGGTCTGACCAGTCACTGCTAGAAACTAAAAAATGACCAGGACTGAAATCTTAAACTAATTTTCCTGATTCAGATGCTGGTCGTGTTATTTAATGTCAGTTTTATCTGTCATCCAAAGTGATCCAACACCAAACTGGTCCACATATACAGGAATACTACAGTTTAGCATGAGTTTAAAATAACAGCAGATCTCTCTCCAGAAGAGATTCACTTCCCATAGAACTCTCCAGCTGTTTCTGTTGAATCATCCCAATTTGAACTTTGACCTCAAGACAAATCATTCTTTCTTCATGAATTTGGGAACACATTTTTGAATTTTGCTTCTGAAAGGAATAAATATAAATTGATATACAATAACAAGTACACACTCTCCCATAGAACAATAATGGACGTCTAACCATTCATAGACATAGATTACACAAATGATAATTTTTACTCTTTAGTGAAATTTCCGATCACTATATGATTGATTTTTGACAACTTTATTTTCAAAGCAACAAGACTGAAGAAAATTACCATATGAATATGTAACAGATACTGTCCTACCTTAGTTGTAAACATTTACTAACAATATTAAATCATGTCCCTTGACAGTTCTATATACTGTCAAATCTCACTTTTTGTGGGGCTAAATTTTCATGGTTTTACAAGAATTTACTATTACAAGGACAATGGATGATTTCATGGATAAATCTAGCTCAATAGATCTGCTTACACAAATTTTAACTGTTTGTCAACATAAGAATTCTTGGATTAAGGATAGGAAATCAATTCAATAAACTCACAAAGAAATTTCTTAGAAATACCGGCCTCAAACACTATATTTTCTGAAAACTCTTTTTTGAAAATGTTATCAACTTACACATACCTCAAACACCATTTCTTCCTGAAATGAGCTTTTTGAGGGTTTCCTTAGAGTCCAACAACTTACCTCAAGCTCTTCGTTTTCTGTGATGAGCTGATTGAGTATTTCTTGTAGGTCCTCTTCATCCTCACTCTCATAACTACTGTCAGAGCTAGAAGACATATCCTCGAGATCGGAGTCGTGTCTTAGGTATTGTAACTCTGTGATCTCCTGGTCAAGACGTTCAATCTCACCTCGCTCCGTCTCAATCTTTTTCCTCAATTCACTCTCTGATAGATTAACAAAATGCAACAACAGATTGTTTTGTCCTTAAATAGACCTGCTTGTTTTTGCCCTAAATCACATCAAGACATTTTTCTATTTAAATATCAAACTTTGGGCCATCATCTTTTTGTCAACAAAATTGGAAAAGTCCTGAACAGATGAAAGTCGCATGAAATCTGACAAAAGTCCCCGGCATACCTTATAACATGTCTCTTAAACAAACCAATGAAAATACCAACATGTCTACATCATCATAATCCAAACTTCAAAATTCACTATGACTTTGACAAAAACAACCTAAAAATACCAACCTGTTGACATAATCAATAATCATAATTCAATTTCAATAAACTACGGTAAAGTATGTAGGAAAGAAACATTAACACAAAGACTCCTGAGAAAGTACAATGAGAATAAGACCATGTGTTCTGGAAGAGTTAGCATCTTTTGCTTCATCAATGACACCCGCCATGAAAACCTTGATTAATCCAAGTAAGTCATGTCACCTTCTCAATATAGAACAAGGTATACAACAACGGAACCAACAGACTAACTAACGAGCATCAAACACGTCCAGCTTCATATCACAAAACGGAACCAACAGACAAACTAACGAGCATCAAACACGTCCAGCTTCATATCACAAAACGGAACCAACAGACAAACTAACGAGCATCAAACACGTCCAGCTTCATATCACAAAACGGAACCAACAGACAAACTAACGAGCATCAAACACGTCCAGCTTCACATCACACAACGGAACCAACAGACAAACTAACGAGCATCAAACACGTCCAGCTTCATATCACACAACGGAACCAACAGACAAACTAACGAGCATCAAACACGTCCAGCTTCACATCACACAACGGAACCAACAGACAAACTAACGAGCATCAAACACGTCCAGCTTCACATCACACAACGGAACCAACAGACAAACTAACGAGCATCAAACACGTCCAGCTTCATATCACACAAGGAAATAGAATATTTCTCACTTTTCAAATAAAAATAGATTATACTGTCCAGGTCTAATGTTTCTATAGATTTGTGACACTTCTATTAACATGTTTCACACAAATACTGTCATGTATTCCACAAGACATAGGTGTAACAAAGTCATCAGTAAATAACATGATATTTTAGCCACAACATAAGCAACTTTACTCTCTTATTCCTTCAGTATCACTGTTTCATTTTCTCTCCTTTTTCTCTGTCTTGTGTTTTTCACATATTCTAGTATGAGAATCAATGTCTACTTCACTTTTCCACTTGATGCTGGTTACATTAATTCATGTGTCTCAGAAAAAGAGAGAGATGTATATAAGTTAAAAAAACTTGTTTCTGAATCCGATTCAGATGCGATTGTTCTTATACAAGTGTGATATATATGTACATATCTATGAATGAAATAAAGTTTATGAACAGTTGGATATAATACGATTCTTGCCCCAATGTGTTGTGTCTTTATATCAAAAAGTTATCTGTAGCTTGCCGTTTTTTTGCTGGGTTTTTTTCACCCTTTGAACACAAAGGATAATTTCTAAGTGTTGTACAGAACCTGGTGGCTACAACCTCACTGAGCAACATAAAAGAGGCATGCACACGCCAACCAGAACAGTTAAGTGAAGTGCCTTGTCCAAAGATACAATCATGTCAGCCCAGACAAAGTGGTTTCTAAGCTTCCCGAGAAACACATATCATCCTCAGTAGGCATGAACCATACACCTCAGATCTCCACCTAAAGTTGCACAGTCCAATGCTTTATCAACTCAGCTATATGACTTTGCCCTATCGAATGAGCTGTTTGACTTCGCTCTATTAACCGAGCTGTTTGACTACGCCCTTCTGACTAAGCTGTTTGATTCTGCCCTATTAACTGAGCTGTTTGATTCTGCCCTATTAACTACGCCCTATTAAGTGAGCTGTTTGACTATGCCCTTCTGACTAAGCTGTTTGATTCTGCCCTATTAACTGAGCTGTTTGATTCTGCCCTATTAACTGAGCTGTTTAACTACGCCCTATTAAGTGAGCTGTTTGACTATGCCCTTCTGACTAAGCTGTTTGATTCTGCCCTATTAACTGAGCTGTTTAACTACACCCTATTAAGTGAGCTGTTTGACTATGCCCTTCTGACTAAGCTGTTTGATTCTGCCCTATTAACTGAGCTGTTTGATTCTGCCCTATTAACTGAGCTGTTTAACTACGCCCTATTAAGTGAGCTGTTTGACTATGCCCTTCTGACTAAGCTGTTTGATTCTGCCCTATTAACTGAGCTGTTTGATTCTGCCCTATTAACTGAGCTGTTTAACTATGCCCTATTAAGTGAGCTGTTTGACTATGCCCTTCTGAGTAAGCTGTTTGATTCTGCCCTATTAACTGAGCTGTTTGATTCTGCCCTATTAACTGAGCTGTTTGACTTTGCCCTTCTGACTAAGCTGTTTGATTCTGCCCTATTAACTGAGCTGTTTGACTACACCCTACTAACTGAGCTGTTTGATTACACCCTACTAACTGAGCTGTTTGACTACACCCTACTGACTGAGCTGTTTGACTACACCCTACTGACTGAGCTGTTTGACTACACCCTACTGACTGAGCTGTTTGACTACACCCTACTGACTGAGCTGTTTGACTACACCCTACTAACTGAGCTGTTTGACTACACCCTACTAACTGAGCTGTTTGATTACACCCTACTAACTGAGCTGTTTGACTACACCCTACTAACTGAGCTGTTTGACTTTGCCCTACTAACTGAGCTGTTTGACTTTGCCCTACTGACTGAGCTGTTTGATTACACCCTACTAACTGAGCTGTTTGACTACACCCTACTAACTGAGCTGTTTGACTTTGCCCTACTAACTGAGCTGTTTGACTTTGCCCTACTGACTGAGCTGTTTGACTTTGCCCTACTGACTGAGCTGTTTGACTACACCCTACTAACTGAGCTGTTTGACTTTGCCCTACTGACTGAGCTGTTTGGCTCCTTTTTATAGTGTTACAGTGTACAAAACAGACCTATAGCCAGCAGCTCCTCCTCCTCCAGTCTCAGGGCTGTGTCCTGTTCCTGTAACTTGATAATCTCCTCATCTTCTGTAAAATACAAAAACACAGACAGAGATATATATAGTTATACTAACACAGAATAACAGTACTTCAGACAGAGATATACATAGTTATACTAACACAGAATAACAGTACTTCAGACAGACATGTATATAATTATACTGACACAGAATAACAGTACTTCAGACAGACATGTATATAATTATACTGACACAGAATAACAGTACTTCAGACAGAGATGTATATAATTATACTGACACAGAATAACAGTACTTCAGACAGAGATGTATATAATTATACTAACACAGAATAACAGTACTTCAGACAGAGCTGTATATAATTATACTAACACAGAATAACAGTACTTCAGACAGACATGTATATAATTATACTAACACAGAATAACAGTACTTCAGACAGAGCTGTATATAATTATACTAACACAGAATAACAGTACTTCAGACAGAGATGTATATAATTATCCTGACACAGAATAACAGTACTTCAGACAGACATGTATATAATTATACTAACACTGTATATAATTATACTAACACAGAATAACAGTACTTCAGACAGAGATGTATATAGTTATACTAACACAGAATAACAGTACTTCAGACAGACATGTATATAATTATACTGACACAGAATAACAGTACTTCAGACAGACATGTATATAATTATACTGACACAGAATAACAGTACTTCAGACAGAGATGTATATAATTATACTGACACAGAATAACAGTACTTCAGACAGAGATGTATATAATTATACTAACACAGAATAACAGTACTTCAGACAGAGATGTATATAATTATACTAACACAGAATAACAGTACTTCAGACAGACATGTATATAATTATACTAACACAGAATAACAGTACTTCAGACAGACATGTATATAATTATACTGACACAGAATAACAGTACTTCAGACAGACATGTATATAATTATACTAACACAGAATAACAGTACTTCAGACAGACATGTATATAGTTATACTAACACAGAATAACAGTACTTCAGACAGACATGTATATAATTATACTGACACAGAATAACAGTACTTCAGACAGACATGTATATAATTATACTGACACAGAATAACAGTACTTCAGACAGACATGTATATAATTATACTGACACAGAATAACAGTACTTCAGACAGAGATGTATATAATTATAATAACACAGAATAACAGTACTTCAGACAGAGCTGTATATAATTATACTAACACAGAATAACAGTACTTCAGACAGAGCTGTATATAATTATACTAACACAGAATAACAGTACTTCAGACAGACATGTATATAATTATACTGACACAGAATAACAGTACTTCAGACAGACATGTATATAATTATACTGACACAGAATAACAGTACTTCAGACAGACATGTATATAATTATACTGACACAGAATAACAGTACTTCAGACAGACATGTATATAATTATACTGACACAGAATAACAGTACTTCAGACAGAGATGTATATAATTATAATAACACAGAATAACAGTACTTCAGACAGACATGTATATAATTATACTGACACAGAATAACAGTACTTCAGACAGAGATGTATATAATTATAATAACACAGAATAACAGTACTTCAGACAGAGATGTATATAATTACACTGACACAGAATAACAGTACTTCAGACAGAGCTGTATATAATTATACTAACACAGAATAACAGTACTTCAGACAGACATGTATATAATTATACTGACACAGAATAACAGTACTTCAGACAGACATGTATATAATTATACTGACACAGAATAACAGTACTTCAGACAGACATGTATATAATTATACTGACACAGAATAACAGTACTTCAGACAGACATGTATATAATTATACTGACACAGAATAACAGTACTTCAGACAGACATGTATATAATTATACTGACACAGAATAACAGTACTTCAGACAGAGATGTATATAATTATAATAACACAGAATAACAGTACTTCAGACAGACATGTATATAATTATACTGACACAGAATAACAGTACTTCAGACAGAGCTGTATATAATTATACTAACACAGAATAACAGTACTTCAGACAGACATGTATATAATTACACTGACACAGAATAACAGTACTTCAGACAGACATGTATATAATTATACTGACACAGAATAACAGTACTTCAGACAGAGCTGTATATAATTATACTAACACAGAATAACAGTACTTCAGACAGAGATGTATATAATTATACTGACACAGAATAACAGTACTTCAGACAGACATGTATATAATTATACTGACACAGAATAACAGTACTTCAGACAGAGATGTATATAATTATACTAACACAGAATAACAGTACTTCAGACAGACATGTATATAATTATACTGACACAGAATAACAGTACTTCAGACAGACATGTATATAATTATACTGACACAGAATAACAGTACTTCAGACAGAGATGTATATAATTATAATAACACAGAATAACAGTACTTCAGACAGACATGTATATAATTATACTGACACAGAATAACAGTACTTCAGACAGAGGTGTATATAATTATACTAACACAGAATAACAGTACTTCAGACAGAGATGTATATAATTACACTGACACAGAATAACAGTACTTCAGACAGAGCTGTATATAATTATACTGACACAGAATAACAGTACTTCAGACAGAGCTGTATATAATTATACTGACACAGAATAACAGTACTTCAGACAGAGCTGTATATAATTATACTAACACAGAATAACAGTACGTCAGACAGAGATGTATATAATTATACTAACACAGAATAACAGTACTTCAGACAGAGATGTATATAATTATACTAACACAGAATAACAGTACTTCAGACAGAGATGTATATACTTATACTAACACAGAATAACAGTACTTCAGACAGAGATGTATATAATTATACTGACTTAAGACAGTGTTATATAAAATGTATTACTGACAGAAATGCATCATAAAATATAAATACAGTTTCCTGTCACTATTGACTAAAAGTTTCATCAGATTGTTGAAGGCAAAATGGCTTCATCCAAATATTTTTTCTTGTATAACTTTACATAACAATAACAATATTGATACATTACATGATCAATTATGTCAATAAACAAGAATGTACTGCTGTCATGTGTATTGTATCATTAATAGAGCTACAAGAATGTACTGCTGTCATGTGTATTGTATCATTAAATAGATCATCAATAAGTTAATAAATTTCTATAAATAGAGCAGTGACCTTTACGTTTTTAATTCAACTATAACTCATTCAAAGGATAGTCGGGATAATATTGGATGGAAAGTGCCTGAAGTAGACATTACATCGTCAACACAAACCTTCACTTAGAACATCCTCTTCCAAAAGGATTACCTCCCTTGGTTGTTCAAATTCTGCAACATCCTCTTTACATCGGTTTATGATTTCCTCCTCTAGAGCAGCAGCCTCTCTTTCAATCTCTTCCCGAGTCTTTGTTGCAGTAATAGGTTCAGTCATTGTTCTATTCTCCTCCAGGACATCCTCACCTGTCCTCGTTATCACACCTTTACTTTTGTCATCTTCTACTTCCATATCTTTTTCTTCGTGCATTGTTGGGGTCAGTACACCTGAATCCTCCATACCTGTTATGGATAGTTTGTATAACTATGATAATATTTCACATAGGTAAAGGCTGTCCATGTATAAATTACTGTCTTGTATGTATGACAACTAGATATTCCTACCTAAAAGATTTTCCACAATCATCTGTTTAGTTTTTATTCTTATTCATTTTTTAAATCTACGATGATTATTGATTTGAGTCTTTCACCCCCTGCAGAGACAAACTACTAATTTCCTGAAACATTTGGACCTATAGACTATCAAAGTACATGCAAGAGGAGACTGAAAGGATTTTCTGTGAGCTAAAGAACTATGGTTGATGTGGTGTTAAGGGTAAAGTGTTGCAGGTTTTAATATATAGCTTGATTGGTAGAGAGGAAGACTGTTACAGAATACATTTATTGTACCCTTACCTGTGTCATCAACATCAGCGTCGGAGACCTTTTGATCTCCATCCCTTGAATCTATTTTATTCTGATCCTCAACATTACCAACAGTGCCCTCATGACCTGAGACCTCAGAAGTTTTAACAATGTCACTTGTTTGTTTTAATGATGTCATTTCTTCATCACTGGAACCTTTATCCGTTTCTCCCTTTTCCCGTTCTAAAATGTCTTCTACTTGTTGTTCAAAAGTATCTTCATCTTCATGATGTTCAACCTCTGCAGAAACTGAAGGAAAGTTGTCTCCCTTGGTGTTACTCTCCTGTGTTGCAGTCACACCTGTATCTGTTATCAAAATAAATAACTTACTTACTAATACCAAACTTTTATAGGGCACACACAAAATAAGATTTTTAGATCTTAATCAAGCAGTAGAGTGTGTGAATAGTGACCGAAAGATCAGGTAGCACCTGGTATCTACCACTGTGAATACCATGCTGGAGGTCTTTGAAAACTGTCCCAGGTAAGGAATGAACCAGGCTTGCATCTGAGCTATGACAGCCTCCAATATGTTGTAGTTCTGTGTGTAAACCATATCCCAGAATGACACTGAGATATGACAGTCCCCAGTATGTGGTAGCATGACACTGAGATATGACGGTCCCCAGTATATGGTAGTATGACACTAAGATATGACAGCCCCCAGTATGGGGTAGTAAGACACTGAGATATGACAGCCCCCAGTATGGGGTAGTATGACACTAAGATATGACAGCCCCCAGTATGTGATAGTATGACACTGAGATACGACACCCCCAGTATGTGGTAGTTCTGTGTGTAAACCATATCCATGAATGACACTGAGATATGACAGTCCCCAGTATGTGGTAGTATGACACTGAGATATGACAGCCCCCAGTATGTGGTAGTATGACACTGAGATATGACAGCCCCCAGTATGTGGTATTTCTGTGTGTTAACCATACCCCAGAATGCCACAGACTGTGAGACACTATGTCCAATTTAAAGATTACAGTATATATAATACCTGTTTGTGGTGTATCAATAACATTGACTGGTGTAACACAGCCATCGCCTTCCTCCTCCTCTTCCTTAGGTTTGGTATCCTGTGGGGCTCCGCTCTCTAATGTGGCACCAGACTCATCACTGACCACAGTTTGTCCATCTTTTTCCTGGTTTTCTCCTTTTTTATTGGTAGTTTTCTCTGCTGTAGGCGGTGATGGACAAATCTGGATTTCTCCCTTAGGTACATGAGCCGTTTCACTGGCTGATTCAACAGATGGAGGATTTTCATTGGTTGTGTCACCATTTGGAGGAAGTGGGGCTTGTTTCTTTACAGGAGCCTCCCTCAGTTCCAGTCTTAAAACCATGTCATCATTTTCAGTGTGAGATCTTCTGAACTCTTCTTTTTCTCGTCTTCTCTTCTCAGAATCTACAGCTTTCTTGGCAAATTTGATCTACAGAGACACAAACACTAATTAAATGAAAAAATGTTTTTACGTTAATTTTTGTCAATGTATTAACTTTGTTATGCTGAAATTAGCCCATTTGACCAACATGTTAAACCTGAACTCAACATACCTGATAAAGACCTACTTCTAGACAATAATACAGCATTATTGGCATTTTCCAACTTTAACTTCAATCTAGGTATGTAAGCTTATTATCCGTCTTGTGCTTATGGCAGGTAAATATGGTATTTAATTATCACCCTGAAGATTTCAAATACATGATTGGGCACACTAAAAAGACAATGATGATTTTATTTTAAAATATCAGGTTTTCAATTTTAAGTATATGGTGTAGTAAATATGTACACTACCCTTTTTTATTCAAAGACATAAAAAGATTACTATACATCCTCTAAGCTGAGGTACAATCCACAACATGTCAATGTTCAAACTTCCATGTGTTTAACTACTGTTACCTGTTATAGCCTTGACTTTCCCTTCTCAGGTCTCTCTTACCTTTCTTTTCAGTTCTGTGACAACACGTTGTACCTCCCAGAGTTGTTCCTCTTTGTCTGCATCCTTGACCCCAGCGACCTCTTGGTGAAGGGCATTCAGAAGTGACTCTTGTTTAGCTAGCTCTTCTTCCAGACCAGCAGGGTTGTCAGGGAGTTCCAGCGACCATTTTGATGTTGTCGGGCGCAAAGGAGGTTTATACCTAGTTGGAAGGAATATTGGTAAAATATTTTCCAGCAAAGTTGTTAAGGGGAGATAACTGGGGATGACATGTAGGGCACCAGGAAGAAGGGACAAATATTTGATTCAAATTATGTCTATTTAAATTATTTTTGAAAATTAAAATCACAATCAAGAGTAGGAGCCGAATGCAGAAATTTCAGAATATATCGACTTTTCATGAGCTCTACGCGAGAAACAATAAAAGGTTAGCTGTGTAATGTTTAGGTAGCAGTTTGAGGAGAACTAGTCACATCAACAGAATTTACTGTGTGTCACCTTTCTTCTATGTGAATGAAACAAGTAGGTGGAGAATATTGTAATCAGACAACACTTTTAACATATTTTGTATTTGCTCCTGATTAGACTGGAGAATAATCTTTGTGTCCTCAGATAATCTTCCTAAAGATGGCACTAACAACTGAGGAAAGGAGTTTTGATATAGGAGTTAATATTTCTGACTGATATTTGGAAATGGTTCACTGAAATGTGCTGCCCTTGTAAACAGTAGTCAAACTTTTAACTAAATCAGATATCACATTCACAATCTGAGTTGTCATTTCGCTACAGGTGAGTAATCATGAGTGTGAAATCATTGTAAATCTTCTGTAACTACTGCCGACAGGTTCATACAAATCCCTTAGGCTGCACAAGTCTGAATTTTAAAGTCAGCAATCAGGGCAGTTATTGAAAAATTCAAATTTAGCTGCATTTCATGTTGGATATAAAAAAAAAGAATACGAAAATTTGCCTTTGCCTACCGTTTGAGTTGCACATCCTTGAAGAGTTGTTTAGCAAGAGAAAAGAGGACATTGAGAACTCGATGACTAATCTGCATGGTGGGACTGAGGACGATGGAGACGTTCTGTAGTGTCATCTTATTCTCCTTTTGCTGAAATAACAACATCATCTTTATAATGTGGAGGAAATTGAATACAAAGCTGTGTATAAAGAGCACACAATTAAACAGAGAAATATCTTAATAAAATGACACTTCAAATATTGTCAACATTAAACCTATTGCCTATTCCACTGGTTCATGTTTTTCCTCCAATCTGCTCACACCTGCTCAACAGGCATATGAGAGACAAATTTTGATTGGCTAAAAATATTACTCACATCTGCTCAACAGGCATATGAGAGCTCACACATCTGCTCAACAGGCATATGAGAGAGACAAATTTTGATTGGCTAAAAATATGCTCAACAGGCATATGAGAGACACATCTCTGAAAATATTACTCACATCTGCTCAACAGGCATATGAGAGACAAATTTTGATTGGCTAAAAATATTGCTCACATCTGCTCAACAGGCATATGAGAGACAAATTTTGATTAGCTGAAAATATTACTCACATCTGCTCAACAGGCATATGAGAGACAAATTTTGATTGGCTAAAAATATTACTCACATCTGCTCAACAGGCATATGAGAGACAAGTTTTGATTGGCTGAAAATATGCCAATGTATTGTAAGCAATTAGGTCATCTGAACATGACCCTTTACCGGCCACTGTCAGATTTTTATAACATAGTGTATAATGATCAGATTGAACCATTTTCGTGGGAGATATTTGAAATATGTTTAATTTTCTACAATATGTTCTTTTTTCATGAAAGGTTCTTACTTGGGTTGTTTTATGAATAACCTACTTACCCGCTCTATGACATGCATCATGTGAACTATGACCCAGGATAGGAGGAGTCTATTACATGTAGGGAGATCAGATACCAGTTTACTGAACTGTTCCAGGCGACGACGCTCATTCTTTATAACTGTAACAATACCAGCATGTTATCTCTGTAGGTATTTTGATAAATTTAAGCTTTTAATAATTGAAGCTGCAACAATGAAAATACATGTATCATTATTGTATATTGACAAAACTTTAACCCTCATTAAATTTTTGCCTGTTTTTTTTTTTTTTTTTTACATGAAAAGAGTGTAAATTTAGTATACAATTCTTATATAATCTTTAGGTGGTGAAATTGTTTCTGTTCCTGGTAAAGGGGTGAAAATATCCCGGTATACAGTATTGTAAGCTATATTGTGATCAGAAATACAGAAAAATTGGTAAAATTGATGGACAATTAAGTAAAGTACAAATTGAATATTAAGGAAATTATCTCTATCATCAGTTGTAATCTTGGAAAATGTTTTATAAGTCATAGTTTATTCTCAAAAATGTACTGCTATACCTCTATCTCAAGACTTTCCTGTCTAATTGACAAGGTGGTGTTACACAAATGTACTGCTATATCCCTACCTCAAGACTTTCCTGTCTAATTGACAGGGTGGTTTACACAAATGTACTGCTATATCCCTACCTCAAGACTTTCCTGTCTAATTGACAAGGTGGTGTTACACAAATGTACTGCTATATCCATACCTCAAGACTTTCCTGTCTAATTGACAAGGTGGTGTTACCTAAATGTACTGCTATATCTCTACCTCAAGACTCTCCTGCCTAATTGACAAGGTGGTGTTACACAAATGTACTGCTATATCTCTACCTCAAGACTCTCCTGTCTAATTGACAAGGTGGTGTTACACAAATTTTTTCTACGAGGGAAAACCAAATTTATCATCAAGATTGAGTCAACACCTAAAAAATATGATGGTAACATTAGGTCAAAACAAGTCTTTCTTAATCAAAACAAAACCTTTACAGTGTATATGGTCGAACATGGGCAGATTTTAATCTATGAATGGTACAATTTAAATTTTTGAGAATTTAACTTAAATGCAAAATCTAACCAAAATGGACAGACTAACATACAGACTATCAGATGGACTGCCAGACAAATGTTCTCTCTAAAATAATCCTGTTGTATTGGATAGAGACATAAAACTGTGTATAACTTGTACACTTAGAGTACAAACTGACCTGAAGCTTCCTCAAACTTTGGCATCAGACTGGTGGTGAGGACAGGCTCAGGGAGTTCACGTAGGAATGTCTTTAGTAAGCTCGCTACAATGTTAGGTTCATGTTCCTCCAGGTATACAGGGTTCTGTCTGTTATAACAGTCCTTCAGCATCTGAACCTTAGACTTCACACCAGATATCCTGTATATACCCTCACACAGGAGGCCTGCAACGGGGAAAAAAAACAAAATATACAATCAGGTAAGATATACATTAGATTTCACACCAGATATCCTGTATATACCCTCACACAGGAGGCCTGCAATGGGGAAAAAAAAACAAAATATACAATCTGGTAAGATATACATTAGATTTCACACCAGATATCCTGTATATACCCTCACACAGGAGGCCTGCAACGGGGAAAAAAAAACAAAATATACAATCTGGTAAGATATACATTAGATTTCACACCAGATATATATCCTCACACAGGAGGCCTGCAACGGGGAAAAAAAACAAAATATACAATCTGGTAAGATATACATTAGATTTCACACCAGATATCCTGTATATATCCTCACACAGGAGGCCTGCAACGGGGAAAAAAATAAAATATACAATCAGGTAAGATATACATCAGATTTCACACCAGATATCCTGTATATATCCTCACACAGGAGGCCTGCAACGGGAAAAAAAAACAAAATATACAATCAGGTAAGATATACATTAGACTTACACACCAGATATCCTGTATATACCCTCACACAGGAGGCCTGCAACGGGGAAAAAATAAATATATAATCAGTCACTATATACATTAGACTTCACACCAGATATCCTGTATATACCCTCACACAGGAGGCCTGCACTGAGGGAGATCAAATAGAGTCTATATACAACTATATATGTTTAATGTAGCAGAATTGGAAGTTCTTTCCGAGGATTTTTCCTGAAGTTTTCTAAAATTGAAATTACTTACCATGCTCCTCTATATAATCTACACAGTCTCTAAATAGAGCTGGCAGCTCTATACCATCATGGCTACGGTTCCTCTCCACAGCAACCGCAAGTGGAACACCAAATATGGGCTTCTCAACTTCCACTAGAAATCACAAAATAACGTCATACAATTAGGTTCATTTTAAGATAACAAAAACAGTTTTTCCAAAAATATTTCAGTTTCAGTTTTAAATTTTCAAATCATTTTGTTGATATAATTGAACAATGACCTTAATATGAAATTTTAGTTAAGCTATATTTAGTGCGTGTCAATAACCTTGTAGCGAGTTAGTGTCTTTTATCTTAAATCTTTCAATCATACATTATACATGTGCAGTAATTAATGATCTTTACTAGCAGCTTCCTTTGTTGGCTCCTCGTGTACATGTAAATGCTTTGATTTCTTCTTCGTTTTCAATTTTAATTTTTTCCCTTCTTTATCGTCTTTCTTTTTTTCTTTATCTCTTTCATCTTTTTTCGGTTCTTTTTCTTTCTTTTCATCCTGAAACACAAAACAATGACCTTTCTGCATCCACTTAGATTCATACAAGTGTCTATATTTCTAAAACCAGTTGGTTCCACCAATACTTTGTGCTCAAACATTATACAGTCTGATAAAAGTCAACACAGAGTTAGGAGTACAAAAGGCATAATATTTATCTGTATTGTCAAAGTCACTGCTGTCATCATTGCTTAATACAACTGCAATACACAACCCAAAACCTTACAACCAGCAGCCACTACAAATTATAACTAAGTGTACAAAATAGGTGGGGTGTGGCCCAGGTGTGTACTTAACCTTAAAGATTTGAGGTGGGACTCTGGGGTAACAGGTGTAGGTGCCTAATATTTTAAAGATTTGGGGTGGGACTCAGTGTGAGCAGGTGTAGGTGCCTTAGTACTTTAAAGATTTGAGGTGGGACTCTGGAGGAACAGGTATTGGTGCCTTAATACTTTAAAGATTTGAGGTGGGACTCTGGGGGAACAGGTATTGGTGCCTTAATACTTTGAAGATTTGAGGTGGGGCTCTGGGGGAACAGGTATTGGTGCCTTAATACTTTAAAGATTTGAGGTGGGACTCTGGGGGAACAGGTATTGGTGCCTTAATACTTTAAAGATTTGGGGTGGGACTCTGGGGGAAAAGGAGTTGGTGCCTTAATACTTTAAAGATTGAGGTAGGACTATGGGGAAACAGGAGTTGGTGCCTTCATACTTTAAAGATTGAGGTGGGACTATGGGGGAACAGGTATTGGTGCCTTAATACTTTGAAGATTTGAGGTGGGGCTATGGGGAACAGGTATTGGTGCCTTAATACTTTAAAGATTGAGGTGGGACTATGGGGGAACAGGAGTTGGTGCCTTAATACTTTAAAGATTGAGGTGGGACTATGGGGGAACAGGAGTTGGTGCCTTAATACTTTAAAGATTTGAGGTGGGACTATGGGGGAACAGGAGTAGATGTCACTCATAACTGTGGAGCTATAGACATTCCTCAATAGATCAGTAACAAGCTAATTCATATTTATTTCTGTTTAGTAAGATTAAACAACATGCTGAAGAGCATTGAAAATGCTCTTAGCATAAAAACAACACTATTCCATCATCCTGTAGTAAACCCGTCCCAGGACTTGTGTAAGAGATGTTTCAGGTTCCTTCTCTCTTTACAGGAAAATGTATTGGAGTCATGCTGATTCTTCCCAAGGTAGTATATCTTACCTTTTCTTTCTTCTTTGCAGAAAATCGGAACGCTTTACTCTTTTTCATTTTAGATGGACTTCTGGAAAAAAAGTGAAATATAGAAGATCGATGTATGTACGGCAACTCTTTGTATCATAATTGTTTGTTAGATGTCTCTTCTTGAATAGCCACGGGCCACTTTTAGGTGGTGTCACCTTGTAACAGCTGGTGACTACCTCACTGAACAACATACAGGAGGTCCGTCACATGCTCTTGTGAGCAGTTAAAGTTTCTTGTCCAAGGACACAACAACATTAGCACAAACCAGACCATTTCACAGCTTCCTGAGAAACACAAACCTCTGCGAGAAGATCATAATACAAGGCAGCTCAGACCTCCGCCTGTGGCTTCATATGTCAAGAGACTGAGTTATGTGGTCACTACAATCATTCTATACTGTTTCACATATACTTTGTATTAACAGAATGGTCAAGTCAATAACAAAATAACATAGAATGTTAATCCTCTGCCTAAATACGTAGAAACATTCCACACACGACCTTTGTTGTCTTTTACAGGATTCAGGATTTATACAAAACTTTACAACATTGGTCAATCACTGAACAAATCTATTCCTAGTTCAAACAAGCCTTGCTTTCCTAATTATGAATAAAAACCCATCATTCTCTAATTAGAAAAAATACATACTTATAAAAATCCAATGATGTTTCTTGTCAATCATCAGAATAATTATGTAAACCAACCAATAGACCTCACTATTTTGTGGTGAAAATATATAACAGTCCTTTACTATTTTAAGTGTCAAGTTTTCCTTGTTTGGAATCACTTCAGAATCCCTAAAATATAATGCTTCATCCACAGAAAACCAAATGTTAAATATATGATAACTACTTGTATATACCTGTGAATAAAATAGTTGTAATCTGTCATAATTGTAGAATTTATCCTGAATTTTTTCCTGATTCCTCACAGAATTTTGATATCCAGAGAAAAGAAATATAGACATACAGGATACAGAGATCAATGTACATGTGTGTGTCTGGTACAGGAAATAGGACTTCTAACACAAAGAATGATGTACCATCACTGAGGAGAACAAAATACAGTCAGAGATTACTAACTATTATTATGTCGTATCTACTTCAGTTTATGAATGGAGTCAAAAACATTTTATTACATCAATCTTGATAAAAAAAATCATCAAACATTTCCTTGAAATTGTTTAGGAGAGATTAAAAAATGTATAATTTATTTACGTGAATATCACACAAATAATTTGTCAACATTTCAAAAAATGTTTCATCAAATTCTTTCAGTGTGTAATCTTTAATTAAAAATCTTGTGATTTATACTATTTTTAATTCTATAAGTCTCTCAAAAAGCTATTAGTGAGGTATTAGTTAACACCTAGTGGAAATATGTAACAAAAGTGTGTAACATCTAAGTTAACGGTAGATATGACCAGACAACATCTAAGTTAACAGTAGATATGACCAGACAACATAGAAGTTAACAGTAGATATGACCAGACAACATCTAAGTTAACAGTAGATATGACCAGACAACATAGAAGTTAAGAGTAGATATGAACAGACAACATCTAAGTTAACAGTAGATATGACCAGACACCATCTAAGTTAACAGTAGATATGACCAGACAACATCTAAGTTAACAGTAGATATGACCAGACTGCATCTAAGTTAACAGTAGATATGACCAGACAACATAGAAGTTAACAGTAGATATGACCAGACAACATAGAAGTTAACGGTAGATATGACCAGACAACATAGAAGTTAACAGTAGATATGACCAGACAACATAGAAGTTAACGGTAGATATGACCAGACAACATAGAAGTTAACGGTAGATATGACCAGACAACATAGAAGTTAACGGTAGATATGACCAGACAACATCTAAGTTAACAGTAGATATGACCAGACAACATCTAAGTTAACAGTAGATATGACCAGACAACATCTAAGTTAACAGTAGATATGACCAGACAACATCTAAGTTAACGGTAGATATGACCAGACAACATCTAAGTTAACAGTAGATATGACCAGACAACATAGAAGTTAACAGTAGATATGAACAGACAACATCTAGGTTAACAGTAGATATGACCAGACTACATCTAAGTTAACAGTAGATATGACCAGACAACATAGAAGTTAATGGTAGATATGACCAGACAACATAGAAGTTAACAGTAGATATGACCAGACTACATCTAAGTTAACAGTAGATATGACCAGACAACATAGAAGTTAACGGTAGATATGACCAGACAACATAGAAGTTAACAGTAGATATGACCAGACAACATCTAAGTTAACAGTAGATATGACCAGACAACATCTAAGTTAACAGTAGATATGACCAGACAACATCTAAGTTAACAGTAGATATGACCAGACAACATCTAAGTTAACAGTAGATATGACCAGACAACATCTAAGTTAACAGTAGATATGACCAGACAACATAGAAGTTAACGGTAGATATGACCAGACAACATAGAAGTTAACAGTAGATATGACCAGACAACATCTAAGTTAACGGTAGATATGACCAGACAACATAGAAGTTAACGGTAGATATGACCAGACAACATAGAAGTTAACGGTAGATATGACCAGACAACATAGAAGTTAACAGTAGATATGACCAGACAACATAGAAGTTAACGGTAGATATGACCAGACAACATAGAAGTTAACGGTAGATATGACCAGACAACATAGAAGTTAACAGTAGATATGACCAGACAACATCTAAGTTAACAGTAGATATGACCAGACAACATCTAAGTTAACAGTAGATATGACCAGACAACATCTAAGTTAACAGTAGATATGACCAGACAACATCTAAGTTAACGGTAGATATGACCAGACAACATAGAAGTTAACAGTAGATATGACCAGACAACATAGAAGTTAACAGTAGATATGACCAGACAACATCTAAGTTAACGGTAGATATGACCAAACAACATAGAAGTTAACAGTAGATATGACCAGACAACATAGAAGTTAACGGTAGATATGACCAGACAACATCTAAGTTAACAGTAGATATGACCAGACAACATCTAAGTTAACTGTAGATATGACCAGACAACATCTAAGTTAACGGTAGATATGACCAGACAACATCTAAGTTAACAGTAGATATGACCAGACAACATCTATTGGAATCCATGGAAGACGTCCACCACTTTTAGAAGATATTCCACTGAGCGTTTGTTCTCATTTTTTTTGTTAAAGTGTTTCAAATGTTTATATACTAACTTTATGAAATCCTTCCTTTTGATTTCCTATAAAGCTTGTGTTATGATTTTTCCAGTGGACTTTTACTCTCTGACATTAATGCTAAATTAAGTTCCTACATACACTCTATACCTACCATCCAATTTAACACTGACTTGATACAAAATGTTTTTACAGATCAGACGGTTTTTAGGCTAAACATACTCAGTACGCATAGCAACGGCCTTTCAGACAAAATTTACCGATCCTGGCCTTCTCATTGGCTGAAATATCGAAAAGACTTAGAGCCTCTAGTGGCAATTTTCTGCGTAAATAATATCGCGATTTTTCAAATCGCTATTTTAAAAGCATCCAAAATTAGTTTATTTTTTTTATAACAATACGATTACTATAGATATAAAAATAGAAGCACAGTGTGGTTGAACTATTGATAAATTTTGAACAATATATTTTACGGAATTCTCGACATGACGTAAGCATACAGAACACTGTACATGCGAGTTGATAAGAAACTAGTTTGGGGCTTGGTTTGAATTATCAACTAACAACACTTATAAACAAACAAAACTTACAAACAGAACATCAATTTTGCTTTAATCCTTGTCGTTGTGGCAAGATCGTCTTAATATATAACATCACTTTACCTCATTAGACGTCACAAAATTGCACTGTACGTCCTACGCGCACATTTTCAGGATTTTCACACCCACCGCTAAGACACTTTTTCAAGTTTTTGAAGATAAAGAGTTTGCGCTTCGTAGGCAAGGTACATTTGGTGCTCATGATTTATGAATGATATATTTTTAATACTGTACTGATCACGATGTTGACTTTGTTGTCTTTTAGTTTTATTTGATGAAGGTTGATTGTGCTGATTTCTCTATGTTTGTTAATGTGTATCAGAGTTCCTTGAAATGAAAATATTCCTTCAAACAAAGTGCGTATAAAAAAATTCCCAAAATATTCATGTTTATAATCATCAGTTAACTATAACAAAATATATTTCCATAACATATTTATTCATTTTGCATGTCATGGTGACATTATCTAATGCATTGGAGATCAGAAATAGTAGTAGCTATAGTGAAAATATTGTAAATTTTGTATATATATGGAAGTCTGGTTTAATCTCATAGAACTATGTCTTTATAGATATAATTACTGGAAGAAAACTCTAACCATGATACTTCAAGGAAGATAGGCATGTAAATACATTTAATGTAATTACTTACACTTTAATCTATCTGAAATACTGTGTATACCTTATCTACTTTCTTCAACAACAAATATAATTATAATAAGTAAGAACTATTACCTTGCAATACATTAAAAATAAAGAAGTAGGTATAAAGTCCTTTCGATTTGTCTAAATCCTCATATTGATAGGATAGTAATTGCAACATCTTGGGTATTTCAAATGTTTTATTTAGTCAACTTCATCATAGAGCTATTTATCATTTGGCTTGTTGGCGATAAATATATGGTTGTGTGTATTTTGTTGTTTTTTTTTTTACCTATTTTGATTTGTTCACATCACTGTCGTCAAATTTGAAATAAGAATTAAAGAAGATATAAAATCGCTTAAAATTAAGAAAAATAGCCTCTGGTTCTCTTATTTTAGTAATTTTTGCATTCCAAAATGTAGGAGTATGGTGAAAGTAATATAGCTTAGCGGTTATTTGTGAACATTTTTCAATACGTTTAGCCTCTTAGTACTTTCAGTACTTTGATTTCAGTATAATAACCCTTTTATCCTGAAACACACTAATACTGTGACAAAGCAGTCTGTGTGTATTGTAGTCAGTAACGTTATCCACAACAATTAGGGCTACTATCTAATAACAGTGTCTGACATAATCATATCGGACAAATAAGTCGAGGTTTGAGATAAACTTATTTTTTCTGATTTATATACCTGATTGACATGTGATACAGGATATTAAGATATATACACTATACACCATGCTTCCTTACAAATATCTGTACGACTTTATCTGTATAGTGTCACATATATTACACAGCACATATAGTTCCATATAAACACATCTGGATGTAAATAAATTAACCTGGTTTTCCTATTTTCTAACTGACTTGCCCCTAATACTGAGATACAGATTTTACATCGAACTACTCACTATGTGATACTGATTAGCTATGTTGATCAGGACTGATGTAAAACAAAAATCATAAAAACGTCATGTACCGGGTAAATGAAAACATGGATAAAAATCAAATATAATCAAATATATCAACAAACTAGCATTGTATACTCACTGATAGTCTGAATAATATACAACCAGAGAAGGCCAGCTCTAGTGACATGTTTTAATTTATACACAAACTGACAAAACTAATAGTGTACTCAATATCTCAGTAATACAAAGATTTGTCAGCTTAACCTGAAATTTAATCTAATATAAATCATAACAACCAATATGTGTCTTACAATTTTCTAGAAATGCATTGTTAATTTTTGACAAGTGATAATAATTAAAATTAATACTAGATCTATGTAAATTTAGTATTTGATTATAACATTCTGAAGTAATATAAGTGTAAACATACAAGAAGTGTTAAGACGACTAGACTTTTAACTGACTGGTAACAGATGTTTCACGACCAACAGCTGGTGTACTTCATATAGCTGTACACAACAGGGTCTTCCTGTTGTGGCGTTTAAACATCACACATCACTTCACATAAATTTAAATTCAATTTTGAATATACATTATACTATTCTTCCATACATCTCCATCTTTTTTATTTATACTAAACTATATACTTTTTTTCTATTACATATTTAAATTTAATGTAAACTATTTTAAAAATAAATTTCACTTTATTTTAAAAAGTATGTTAATTTTATCTGTACAATGTAATTTGACATTTACATGAACACAAACATAGAGTTGTAGAGGCAATCCTATACAATTATTGCCTTTTTTTGTACGTTACTGAAAGGATATATCTGTCTACCTGAAAAGGGTCGTATTCCCTGAGACAGCAAACTAATTTTAAAAAAATAGATAACTGTTTTGTTAGATCACATGACATTTAAGATGTTCACATAATTACTAACAATCAGTTTATTTTTAGTCTGAGTTATCAATTTTCTACAATAACCTCATATCATGGAAATCCCCTGTTACTATTTTTAATCTACAGACTATCTATTTTGCAATGCCTTCAGGTTAGCTCTATTTACTGTATCAGTGTGTTACCCTCTATTTACTGTATCAGTGTGTTACCCTCTATTTACTGTATCAGTGTGTTACCCTCTATTTACTGTATCAATGTGTTACCCTCTATTTACTGTATCTGTGTGTTACCCTCTATTTACTGTATCAGTGTGTTACCCTCTATTTACTGTATCAGTGTGTTACTCTCTATTTACTGTATCAGTGTGTTACCCTCTATTTACTGTATCAGAATTCATTCCATTATTTCTGCCACCTGACTTGTGTTACTGTATCAGTGTTTTGTATCAGTGTGTTACCCTCTATTTACTGTATCAATGTGAAACTGTGTGACACAATTCTCTGATAGTGTGTTACTTTATATCAGTGTTCTGATAAAATCAGTGTGTTACTCTCTATTTAGAATGTTCCTATTTTCTGTCAAACATTACATAGCGACAGTGTGTTCCTTTCAGTGTGTTCCCTCTGTTTACTGTATCAGTGTTCTTCCCCATTTACTGTATCTGTGTGTTACCCTCTATTTACTGTATCAGTGTGTTACCCTCTATTTTCTGTATCAGTGTTTTCTTTTCATGATCATCATCACCTAAAACAGAGCAGTTCTCAAATAACAAGGCTGTTCTACTCTGTCATCAACCATCTAATACAGGTCTACTGTGTACCATCTAATACAGGTCTACTGTGTCATCAATCATCTAACTGTGTCATCAACCATCTAATACAGGTCTACTGTGTACCATCTAATACAGGTCTACTGTGTACCATCTAATACAGGTCTACTGTGTACCATCTAATACAGGTCTACTGTGTACCATCTAATACAGGTCTACTGTGTCATCAATCATCTAACTGTGTCATCAACCATCTAATACAGGTCTACTGTGTACCATCTAATACAGGTCTACTGTGTACCATCTAACTGTGTACAGGTCTACTGTGTACCATCTAATACAGGTCTACTGTGTACCATCTAATACAGGTCTACTGTGTACCATATAATACAGGTCTACTGTGTACCATCTAATACAGGTCTACTGTGTCATCAATCATCTAACTGTGTCATCAACCATCTAATACAGGTCTACTGTGTACCATCTAATACAGGTCTACTGTGTACCATCTAATACAGGTCTACTGTGTACCATCTAATACAGGTCTACTGTGTACCATATAATACAGGTCTACTGTGTACCATCTAATACAGGTCTACTGTGTCATCAATCATCTAACTGTGTCATCAACCATCTAATACAGGTCTACTGTGTACCATCTAATACAGGTCTACTGTGTACCATCTAATACAGGTCTACTGTGTACCATCTAATAAAGGTCTACTGTGTACCATATAATACAGGTCTACTGTGTACCATCTAATACAGGTCTACTGTGTCATCAATCATCTAACTGTGTCATCAACCATCTAATACAGGTCTACTGTGTACCATATAATACAGGTCTACTGTGTACCATATAATACAGGTCTACTGTGTACCATCTAATACAGGTCTACTGTGTACCATATAATACAGGTCTACTGTGTCATCAATCATCTAACTGTGTCATCAACCATCTAATACAGGTCTACTGTGTACCATCTAATACAGGTCTACTGTGTACCATATAATACAGGTCTACTGTGTACCATCTAATACAGGTCTACTGTGTACCATCTAATACAGGTCTACTGTGTACCATCTAATACAGGTCTACTGTGTACCATCTAATACAGGTCTACTGTGTACCATCTAATACAGGTCTACTGTGTACCATCTAATACAGGTCTACTGTGTACTATGTAATACAGGTCTACTGTGTACCATGTAATACAGGTCTACTGTGTACCATATAATGCAGGTCTACTGTGTACCATGTAATACAGGTCTACTGTGTACCATGTAATACAGGTCTACTGTGTACCATCTAATACAGGTCTACTGTGTACCATGTAATACAGGTCTACTGTGTACCATCTGATACAGGTCTACTGTGTACCATCTAATACAGGTCTACTGTGTACCATGTAATACAGGTCTACTGTGTACCATCTAATACAGGTCTACTGTGAATCATCTAATACAGGTCTACTGTGTACCATGTAATACAGGTCTACTGTGTACCATCTAATACAGGTCTACTGTGTACCATCTAATACAGGTCTACTGTGTACCATCTAATACAGGTCTACTGTGTACCATCTAATACAGGTCCATTCTGTACCATCTAATACAGGTCTACTGTGTACCATCTATTACAGGTCTACTGTGTAATCAACCTGTACTGTTTTTCCTGGAGTATCGTATTTCCTTGTGTATGGTAACTCCTACAAACTTCATTACTCCTTAATTATGTATAGTATCAATTTTGTTTTTGATAAAACACAAAAACAGTTTTAAAGTTCAGATAACTGATAAAATAACAATCGCCCATCACATCATGTGATGGTAAACGAAGATCTGGTTATATCTGATCGCTAGTAAAGTTGTCATTAATTTAATTTTGTTAAATACTAGATCAACATTGCTCTAGGAATAAATAACAACTTTGCTTGCCATACCCTTGGTTTAATAAGTACATTATATAAATACAATGTTAATCTGGGTATTACTGAGAATATAACAAGACAGAAAAATTTGTCATGTTGGAGAGAGTCCTACAAGTCTCTGTCAATATCTATGTATGGCTGGGTATAATATCTGTTCTATATATATACATGTGTAAATGACATAGTACAACTTAACACACATACATGCAGTAGACAATGCATACATGTCACCAACACGTCTGTGTACTGTATGTCTGTCTTAGTGTTTACACAGAATGGTCTGGCTTATTGACATAAATACCTGATTGAGAGATTGGACATTTTACAACGACCTCCTTGTTCTTAAAGTTGTACCCATAAATAGTCACTGAAGTAAGAACTGTTATATACAGTAATATATAACAATTACAGGTAAGATGTCCCTAACATAGAGATGTTACTATCTAGGTACAGGCTGTAAAACTCCACTACCAGGTACTACCAGGCACTGAAGTAAGAACTGTTATATACAGTAATATATAACAATTACAGGTAAGATGTCCCTAACATAGAGATGTTACTATCTAGGTACAGGCTGTAAAACTCCACTACCAGGTACTACCAGGTACTGAAGTAAGAACTGTTATATACAGTAATATATAACAATTACAGGTAAGATGTCCCTAACATAGAGATGTTACTATCTAGGTACAGGCTGTAAAACTCCACTACCATACTACCAGGTACTGATAGTAAGAACTGTTATATACAATAATATATAACAATTACAGGTAAGATGTCCCTAACATAGAGATGTTGTGGGAAATCTAGGTACAGGCTGTAAAACTCCACTAAAGGTACTTAAATAAGTACTGAAGTAAGAACTGTTATATACAGTAATATATAACAATTACAGGTAAGATGTCCCTAACATAGAGATGTTACTATCTAGGTACAGGCTGTAAAACTCCACTACCAGGTACTACCAGGTACTGATGTAAGAACTGTTATATACAGTAATATATAACAATTACATGTAAGATGTCCCTACCATAGAGATTTTACTATCTAGGTACAGGCTGTAAAACTCCACTACCAGGTACTATATTTTGGCATAACAAATGAGAGGGAAAATATAAGACAAGACCCAAACAAATGACTTTCAAACTAAGATAAACACTTACTAACAGACCACTAATTTTTGCAAGGAATTTATTTCTGTTGATTTTGTGGGAAATCTTTATCTGATAATTCACATGTCCATAAACTACTTAAATAAGTATAAACAGATTTATTAAACTATATCCATCCACAAAATCACACATCCATGATTTTTTTTTCTTTTTTGAAAAACCTTGAAAATTGAGCCCAACAAAATATATGACTTTACAGTAATCAACTGACCATGATCAATATATCTAAGTTATTCGTAATTACAGGTTCAATCAAGTTCAACTCTATTCTAATTTTTCTATGCATGACCTTTTAGGTATTGCAAGTATCAGGGCAACAGGAAACAGTGTATTAACTGTAACAGCATGCACTGGTACTCTAAGTTAAGGACCTCTTGAGAGTGAAATCATTGGTAAACAAATGCTCTTATATACATATATTCAATTGTAGTGCTATAACGATAGATTCTAACTCTGATGATGTGCATTATGAAGCACTAGGTTTGATATCTTAATCCAAGTACGTCTTAACGGAAACCCACTCACTGGTGACAATAAATAACCCACTCACTGTTCTTAATAAATAACCCACTCACTGGTGACAATAAATAACCCACTCATTGTTCACAATAAATAACCCACTCACTGGTGACAAAAATAACCCACTCACTGGTGACAATAAATAACCCACTCACTGTTCACAATAAATAACCCACTCACTGGTGACAATAAATAACCCTCTCACTGTTCACAATAAATAACCCACTCACTGTTCACAAAAAAAAACCTACTCACTGGTGACAATAAATAACCTACTCGCTGGTGACAATAAATAACCCACTCACTGTTCACAATAAATAACCCACTCACTGTTCACAATAAATAACCCACTCACTGTTCACAATAAATAACCCACTCACTGTTCACAATAAATAACCCACTCACTGTTCACAATAAATAACCCACTCACTGGTGACAATAAATAACCTACTCACTGTTCAACAATAAATAACCCACTCACTGGTGACAATAAATAACCCACTCACTGTTCACAATAAATAACCCACTCACTGGTGACAATAAATAACCCACTCACTGTTCACAATAAATAACCCACTCACTGGTGACAATAAATAACCCACTCACTGTTCACAATAAATAACCCACTCACTGGTGACAATAAATAACCCACTCACTGTTCACAATAAATAACCCACTCACTGTTCACAATAAATAACCCACTCACTGGTGACAATAAATAACCCACTCACTGGTGACAATAAATAACCCACTCACTGTTCACAATAAATAACCCACTCACTGGTGACAATAAATAACCCACTCACTGTTCACAATAAATAACCCACTCACTGGTGACAATAAATAACCCACTCACTGTTCACAATAAATAACCCACTCACTGTTCACAATAAATAACCCACTCACTGGTGACAATAAATAACCCACTCACTGGTGACAATAAATAACCCACTCACTGTTCACAATAAATAACCCACTCACTGTTCACAATAAATAACCCACTCACTGGTGACAATAAATAACCCACTCACTGGTGACAATAAATAACCCACTCACTGTTCACAATAAATAACCCACTCACTGCTCACTGTTCACAATAAATAACCCACTCACTGGTGACAATAAATAACCCACTCACTGGTGACAATAAATAACCCACTCACTGGTGACAATAAATAACCCACTCACTGTTCACAATAAATAACCCACTCACTGTTCTCAATAAATAACCCACTCACTGGTGACAATAAATAACCCACTCACTGTTCACAATAAATACCCACCCAATAAGTAACCCTCTCACTGTTCACAATAAATAACCCACTCACTGTTCACAAAAAAAAACCTACTCAC